CTGAAAGTATCAGAATTTGTGAAGTAAGTCAGTCGTTGTCAAAAAGTCAATGAGAGAGTCCGGATGAAAGGTGGGTCCATCAGCGAGAAGGGAAGGTAAAGAGAGAGCAGCGGGGCGAAGACGACGACAGAGGTAAATTCTGCGTGCTCGTTGATAAAGTGGGCAGTCCAACAGAATGTGGCTGACTGATAATGGAGCTTGGCAATTCTCACAGAGAGGAGCAAGACGCCTCTCCATGAGATATCCATGAGTAAGACGAGTATGGCCAATGCGAAGACGGGAGAGAGTAGTCTCCCAACCTCGACACTGGTGATAAGAAGACGGCCAGTAACCTATACTCGGTTTAATAGACTGAAGTTTGTTGCCGAGCATAGTAGACCAACGTTGTTGCCAACGGGTGTGAAGGTGGGAAGATATTACAGCAAAATAGTCCGTACATGGAATACCTCTATAAGAAACTGGTAGGTCATGTACTGCTGACCGCGCAGCAGTGTCTGCCTGTTCATTGCCCTGTACGTCAACATGACCAGGGACCCAACAAAAAACAAATACTTTATGCTTAGTAAAGATGCGGCGTAGCCAAAGTTGGATACGGAGGACTAAGGGGTGAGGTGTATCAAATTTTTGTATAGCCTGTAAAGCACTAAGGGAGTCTGAGACAACCACAAATGATGACACAGGCATAGATGCAATACGGATAAGTGCTGTAAGGATGGCATATAATTCAGCAGTAAAAATACTAGCTGAAGATAGTAAATGCCCTTGTACGACGCTGTCCGGAAACACTGCTGCGAATCCTACGCCGTCAGAAGACTTAGAGCCATCTGTGTACACAGCAATGGCATGAGAATGAGAGTGAAAGTGGTCAAGAAAAAGAGAGCGGGAAGCGACCGTAGACAGTTGGGCTTTCGAGCAAGGGAGGGAGAAAGAACAGACTCGAACAGCTGGAACTTCCCAGGGGGGTAGGGAAAAGTGAGATGCTACATGTACATAGAAAGGTGGTAGTTGAAGAGAAGACAAGAGCGAATGAAGGCGAAGAGAGAAGGGACGGAGTAGCAGGGGCGGCGAACAAATAAAGAATGTCTACTAATATCAGTGACCATTCTATAAATGGAAGGATTGCGGAGATCATGAGAGCGTACATAGTAGCGCAGGCAATGGGCATCACGGCGATCGGATAAGGATGGAACGTTCGCTTCTGCATAGAGGCTTTCGACAGGGGAAGAGCGAAAAGCACCAAGGCATAAACGTAATCCTTGGTGATGAATGGGGTTAAGGCTAGAGAGAGTAGCAGGAGATGCCGCTGAATAGATCTGGTCACCATAATCAAGTTTCGATAAAATAAGGGTGGAATGTAGGTGAAGGAGGGTTCGACGATCAGCTCCCCACGAAAGATGAGCAAGGGTTTTAAGAAGGTTCAGCCGGCTGTGACAAGTTGCCTTCAGAGAGGTAATGTGAGGTTTCCAGGATAACCTACGATCAAAGAGGAGGCCCAGAAACTTGACTGTATCACGTTCAGGGATACGTGAGCCATAGAGGTACAAAAGGATGATCAGAGATGACAGAGCGTCTAGTGAAAGTGATTTGGTGGGTTTTAGTGCTGGAAAATTTAAACCCATGTGTGGTGGCCCAATTGGAAACACGGTCGACTGCATGCTGGAGAGAAACTGTAAGGAGGTGACAGTCAGCGCCTGCACAGGCAATAGCGAAGTCATCAACATAGAGTGATGACCAAATATTTGATGGAAGACTAGAGGCCAAATCATTAATAGCAAGGAGAAAAAGTGTTGTGCTCAGAACACATCCCTGGGGGACACCTTCAGCTTGGACAAAGTCCGGGGAGAGCACATTATTAACCCGAACACGGAAATGCCTGTCAGTTAAAAAGTTCTTAAGGAAGGATGGTAGATTGCCTCGAAGGCCTAAGGAGTGGACTTGGGCTAAAATATTATACCTCCAAGTTGTGTCATATGCCTTCTCAAGGTCAAAAAATATGGCAATAACTGAGTGGTTATTCGCAAAGGCATTACGAACATACGTATCCAAGCGCAGTAAGGGGTCTATGGTAGAACGTCCCTTACGAAAGCCATATTGACGAGTGGAGAGACTGTTGTGTGTCTCTAAATACCACACTAAACGTCTATTTACTAGACGTTCCATTACTTTGCAAACTGCACTGGTAAGAGCAATGGGACGATAATGGGAGGTTTCATGTCCCGTAGTGCCTGGTTTGCGGAAAGGGAGAACAATGGCGGATTTCCACAGCTGTGGAAGAACTCCTTGTGACCAAATAAGATTGTAAAGGCGTAATAGGACTGCAAGGGCTGACTGATGTAAATGTTGTAGCATACGAATATGAATGTCGTCGGGCCCAGCTGCCGATGATCGACAAGCTGAGAGTGTTGCCTCCAGTTCTTGAAGTGTAAAAGGCACATTATACTGTTCTTCTCTGAGAGAAGAAAAGTCCAAGGGTGCTAACTCTCTGGCAGACTTTGAGGAAAGAAATGAGGGGCATAGATGGAGTCCCTGAGAAATACGGACCAGATGATTGCCAATTTCATTGGCAACATCTAGTGGGTTTGCTATATCAACACCGGCAACTCGCAGAACAGGAGCCGGGTCAGGAGAATATTTACCACTCAGTTTTCGTACTTTTTTCCAGACTGCACTCATAGAGGAAGCAGAGGTGATGGTGGAGACATAATCTCGCCAGCAAGTGCGTTTAGCGTCACGGATGACACGGCGAGCGATCGCACGCTTCTGTTTAAAATCAAGGAGTCGCTCTGTGGTTCTATTGTACCGGTACCTGCCCCATGCAGCGCGTTTCAAACGTACTGCACGAGCACAAGCAGGAGACCACCAAGGCACGCATTTCTGAGAATGCCTGCCCGAAGTTTGGGGTATAGAATGAGAAGCTGCGGTGAAAACGGAGGACGAGAAGAGGTGTAAAAGCTCATCGATGGAGGACGAAGAAGGAACCTCTTTAAAAACAGTCAGGTGTGAGTAAAGGTTCCAATTTGCCCGATTAAATTGCCAGCGTGGGGTGCGAAGAGGTGGCGAATATGAAGGGGAAGAAAGAATGATTGGGAAATGATCACTGTCATGTAAGTCCGGGGAGAACAGACCAAGTAAAGTCTAATGCGGCGGAGGAAGAGCAAACTGAGAGATCGATGCAAGAGAGAGTATGAGTCCGAGGATCAAAATGGGTGTGAGTACCTGTATTTAAAACATGGAGGGGGTGGGTGGCAAGAAAAGCCTCTAACTGAATTCCACGGGAATCACAGTGAGACCCTCCCAGAGGAAATGGTGGGCATTAAAATCACCAAGTAACAGAATCGGTGGCGGTAATGACGAAACAAGGAAGGCAAAATCCGGAATAGATAATGCCCGAGAAGGAGAGAGATATAAAGAACAGAGCGTATACCACCTATGTAAGTGGATACGGGCTGCTGTGTAATGCAGCGAAGTATGAATAATAGTTGATGGTACGGAATATCAGTGCGGAGAAGAAGGGCACTTTCATTAAAGGTCCCATCAGGAAAAGGATCTGAAGAATACAACAAATTATAGCCTGAGATGTGAGAAATAACAGCAGAGTGTAATTTTGGTTCCTGTAAGCAAACACCAACAGGGGCAAACTGGGAGAGTAACATCTGAAGCTCACCCCGATTACCCCTGAGGCCGCGTATATTCCACTGTAAAAAGGCCATGATTGGCAATGATAAAGATACTTGAAATCCGCAGGTAAGGGTTCCTACGGACTAGAAGGGTTAGAAAAGTCCACATGCGGAGGCAGTGGAAAATGTTCAAGCAGCGAAGGAACGGTGCGCTGTGAAGAAAGGAGTTGCGCAGATGGAGCAGAGGAGAGAGAAAGAGCGGAAGGTGGATCAGTGTCCATTGATGGTTTGGTCTCTGCAATATATTCAGAGATTGCTTCAAGTGTTTCGGAATTCAGAGATGTCGTATGGGAGACAATATTGGGAATGGTAGGGGAGGATGAGTAAAGATTGGAACTGTATTGGACTGTACCAAGGTAGGGGGGGGCGAAAGGGTGGAGGGAACTGGAGAAGCGTGGCAGGGGACAGAAGAGACAGGAACCTGGGAGGTGGCAGAAGAGGAAGAAACTTGGGAGGGAACAGGGGAGGAAGGTACATTACGAGGAGGAGGGTGAACCTCTGCACTTGTAACCGAGCCAGTGAGAGGGGAAGAACTAGGGACAGAGACAGGGAGGGTAAAATGAGGAGGTGGAAGATGGGTAGGAGGTGTTACCGGACCTTTTTTTGACTTTTGAGAAGTAGAGGGACGATTGGGAAGAGGTGTCGTACGAGGTCTCGTCGATACTGAGGCTTGTAAGAGAGAACTCGAAGAAGCGAGATTAGACTGAGGCGTTGAAGTAGGGACGTCTGAGCCGAGGACAGCAAAAGGATTAGATACAGGAGTGATTATGGGAGAGGTAACCACAGAGGTGGGTGTAGAAGATGGGATACCAGAAGTGGGGGGACGTTTTGAAACACGGGAATAAGAAACACGTGGGAGTCTCCCTTGGAGGCGGAGATGAGAAACTGCCATGGCATAAGGGAGACCTTCTGTCTCTTTGAGGTAACGGATTTCCCGCTCGTTTAAATAGACCTGACAACGGCGAGAGTACGAAGGGTGAGCCTCATGACAGTTAAGGCAAGAGGGAGATCGATTGCAAGACGTATTAGAATGGTCATCGGCACCACAGACTGGGCATTCGGCGATAGATCTGCAATAAGGATACCATCAACTTCCTCTACATATTTCTAGGTCAACAAGCAACAATATCTACAATCTAGTGTCAAAAAGTATTTATTTAGTATTTTTGGATGAGTAAACCATCCTGCTTTTCCAATATATTCATTTTAGATATTGTAATTTTACAGACACTGCCGATTTCAGGAATGTAACATGCGATAGATTCTACTGTGTATATAAACACACAGGACACAAATTTTAAATGAGGTTAATAAAACAGAAAATAAATGATTACATTTGGCCATATCATTGTAAACATCAAGCTTTACAGTGAGTTTCATAAATAATTGTTTGAGATATACTCTATTATAACACAATATTACTAAATATTAATATCCAAATTATAATTTTTCTAAAAAACTCTGTAAATTTATATAGTTCAAGATTGCCCTGATGTATATTCATAACATATACCAAGCCACAGTTGCAGGACAATCACTTCTAACTTTCATGAATCACAAATATAAAGCTTTAAACTCTTGAAGGAACAAATGGGCAAACAAACAAAAACTATATATTTTATGAGAAACTTAAAATGTATTATGGTGAGTAATGGTGATGCATGTGACTAGATAAAGATACGCTTATACTTATCAACTAACATCTTTGGTTTCAGTCTTCCAATCACCGAGTCAGGTGTTTTGACAAATAAACATTCTACTATATTTAGATTGTAAAATACCTCTGATGACAAGTTTCTACAAGGGGGGGGGGGGTAAGGGAATAAAAAAAAAAAGAGGAGACTGTGACATAATCAGTAATTGCGTATTAAAATGATCTTGCAATAAGTCTTATTATCTGTTTTTCATCAGGTAAATGTGCCTTACTGAAAATCCATCTAATACTTATAACTGTTAATTTCACAGATATAGACTTTAAATTACTATTCTTTACCCTGCTTGGCAAGGCGAGTGTCCAGTTCTGGGAGACATCACAGAGGTTCAACACTAGTGCAGACAAACCTAACAATCTTCTGTATTCAGATTCTGTTGAGGGAAGAATAACAATGGAAGAAACAGCAGTGTTGAAAGATTGAAATTATAGAGTATAGAAAGTTTTAAGACAACCAGACACACACTGCAACAGCAATGGTTAAACCATGAGTCATAACTATTGCAAAGTGCATCTGATTTAGAATTGGTCTAATTGTGACTTTATTTTTGTTAAAGAAAACTCCTTTTATGGTGCTAATAGTAATTCAGAACCTAGCATATCTTTTCAAGTTACCAACAGGAAATGGGCCCATTTGTGCACCAGCAAGCTGCTGGGGTAGAGTGTTGTCTGAAGGCCTCAGGGCTGGTTTTCACACTATCTAGGTGAGAAGAATACAAGCTATACATGTACAATGTGTACCCTAAATGTTTAATGTACTTTCAATCGTACTGTAATTCTTCTGACACGTCATAAACTTCTTATAATATTGTAAAATTTTTAATAAATAATGACACTGAGAAGTCCAATGGAATCATTATATTCTCAATATCTCTACAGGCAGCATGGTACTATATTTGATTTTTCTTTTAAATTTTGGGTTTATATTACACCCTGATTTCTACATAAAACTAAAAGTATTTATCTGAATACTAGTGCTGCCCTAAATTCACTCCTAGCCTGGAATAAAAACTATCACTTTAAAAATTATCTATCTATATATATATATATCTATATATATATATGTATATATATATAGTATCACAACTTACAAGATTTCTTATTCACAACTTTATTAATTCACCTTGATTAATTCTATTCCTGGGAATGTATTTTCTGTGCAATAGTTTCCTAGTGTCTTGCAACTGGAAATCCAACATACAAATGAGAATCTTGGCAATGGGCTCACTGTGTCCCCCTCCCACCAGCACTGTCCACTGCAACTTTTTTCCAACATGTCTGCATCACACAGTAATGCTTTACAAAGTTACATGAACTCAGCAGAGGAAGTTACATTTCAGACACATTAGCTCTTAGTTATAGATATGCATACACTACACCAACAAAATATGTATAGTGTATGGCAGGTTGTAAAAAGAAAATGTTCACAATTTACAGAGATTCCTACATGGGGAAACTGTGTATGACAAGAGCAACTCTAGCATTAGATGGATAAGGCATACATCAGCTCCTAAAAGGAAACTGTCTATGACATACCAAAACCCATGTGGATGAAAGGTATGTCATACATAAATTTTTTTAGAGAATAATAATTCTTACAATAAATACTATGTCTCAAAGTCATGAGTACAGAGATTCAGCCCCCTTCAGAAATTGTCAGTAATGAGCAAGAGGACCATTGTTTCCCTATAGAATTGTCAGTAAACTGCATCTTACTGCTCTTTTTTGAATATTTTTATGAAACAATATGTACATAACTAAAAAAAATAAGTTTCTCACACCTCAAATTAAAGACTTGATGATATATCTTGCACTGCTAATGAGTCTACTATAATCAATAATGATCACAATTAAGGGTGATGCTGGTAGAGCCTGTGTACAGTAAAAAGCAACAGGCAAGCACATGAGACCAACAAATGATTAGTGAAATAATGGTTTGCCCCTTTAATGATGAAGGTTTGGAAGGAACACAACAGACACTGCAATAGTAAATGGGTGGTTGCAGTGTGCCCCTACAGCTCAATTTTTAATAGTATTGTCATCTTAAGGACTAGAGAACAGATAGCCATGCAACTGTTACTGGAACATCTCACACTAATTATTCCACCAGATAAAAAGAATGAGGCATTCTATCTTTCTCAGACATTATATTTAATTATTACAAAGTTCACTGACTTCTACTACATGCTTTAAGGGAGGATTTTAAAAAAAGTCTGGTCCAACTAGTGTGGTAAAAGAGTCCCGATTTTGTTGATCCTAAGACTGAAAAAACATATGGTCTTTCCAGAGGTTAAATTTGTTGGAAAATAGGACTTAACATGAAGTTCCATTACACAGCTATTTAATAAAAGAAAAAAAATATTATTTTTCATATTAAGTGAAAATATTTAGATTTGTTTCCCAATTGTCTTCAGTACCTGCCTAGCTTAATAATTAATATGAAGATGTGAGAAGTCACTGACAACTCAAGCTGTAGCAGATGTCATGTGCTGTTGGTAAAGTTGATTTGTGAGACTCTGATACAACCCTGGATTGTCCTTATCTCATTTAGTCGGAACGGAAAGTGTGTTGGGGTGGTTGCCACCAGATGTGTGACGACTTCGACGACCTAATTTTGATCTGCAAAATAAAACAAAATCAGCCCTATATAACTACAGTACATTACATAAAAATAAACATTCAATAAAGTGCATACTTGCATGATAATTAGCAAATATAATTTAGTGCTCATAACCAAGGCCTGTTCAACATTTCATTCTAATCACAAAGATATTTAAAATAATTATTTTATGGCCCATGTAATTACCTATTTCTAATTACAGGAGCATAGCAATGCTTTTTTTTAAATCATTTGGATGTGTAAAATACATATGAAAGGTCATGTATAATTGTATGTCTACTGTTAGACATTTCGCTATGGTTGCAGCTCAAACAAGTTGCAGGAATTTCAGAATTCAAGATTATTACACAGAATTTAAAAATATTTCAAAATTTATTTCTTACCTACTATGGAGGGCACCTTGATGCTGATGAAGGGCTCTTGATACAAGGAACTGAAGTTATCTTCCCCTTCCTTGGATCAAACCTGACTATCTCATATTCCCCAGGAGCTCTGACCCATACATATTTAGTACTCCATAATTATAGTACTAAAAATTTACAAGTATATGTAAAGTACAGTAGTTTGTTTTTGTAACATCTGTATATTTACAAGCACAGTTAGAAAATGTATTGTGTTTTTAATGTGCATTCACACGAATATAAGGATTAAGAAATACTTCACTAATCCTACTTCTCCATGGGCACATCCTACTGGCACACACCCATTCTCACTCAGGTATTTGTTCTCTTGTTCTTCACTCGCTACAAAGAAAGAGTGCTTTAGCATTTCTTGAGTATTGCATACTCAAGAATGAGTAGTACATAGTATGTGTATTATTTTAAGTAGTGTAATATCTGCACATCAAGAGACAAATTAGGGGGGTTATAGTTATTCCAATACTTTCTATTCCTTTGCTTTTTCCTAAACTGTTTCTTTGAGCTTTTCTACCATCTCCTCAAACATGTATAGTATTTTCTTTTTCTACTTTCCCAGTCTCTCAGCTCTGTAACTTGCTTTTGCTTACCTATTTACAGATACAGAAGCAAAGCTATGATTATAGTTTCCTAGCTTCAGCATTTGTGTGCTTGCAGAAAAAAATGACAAAACACAAATGGTTTGGTAAGACTCTGATTTCAGAGTTGTCTTCATTGTATTGCATTTTACCACAAATTGGCTTTATTAACCCTTAAATGGTCCAAACGTATACAGTGGACCCCCGCATAACGATTACCTCCGAATGCGACCAATTATGTAAGTGTATTTATGTAAGTGCGTTTGTATGTGTATGTTTGGGGGTCTGAAATGGACTAATCTACTTCACAATATTCCTTATGGGAATAAATTCGGTCAGTACTGGCACCTGAACATACTTACGGAGTGAAAAAATATCGTTAACCGGGGGTCCACTGTATATACGTTTTTTCAACATCTGAAAGTATGTAAAAAAATGTAGATCTTTTTTGTTTTACATTTGAAAACGTGTAAAAAAACTTTTATCTACATTTTTTTTGTTATATTTGAAAATATGTAAAAAAAGGTAGATCTACTTTTGTAGCAATACGAATTTGAACGTCGATCTGTTTGGACCGTTTAAGGGTTAAGTACAATTTGTGGTGAAAAACTGTACAGTAAAGACTTCTCTGCAATCAGTGTTTTACCACAGTAATTGTTTATATGTGGTTGCAGGGGTCAAGTCCTATCCCCACCTCTCAACTTACCTTTGCCAGATTCCCGTCCTCCTAGCCTCATTGGGCCCTATTGTACCTGCTCTTAAAACTATGCATGGAGCCTGCTTCCACCTTTTCATCAATGTTATTCCACTTCCTATCAATTCCTCTAGAGTATTTTGTATATTATTGTGCCTCCTAGGCTTTTCTGTCCTCCAATTTCGTTACATTCAATTCCATGTATGTATGTATGTATGCATGCATGCATGCATGCATGCTGGAGTTGGTAGTGTCTGTATCATCCCTTATTCTTCCTCCTTTTTTTTTACATAAAGCAGTGAAACTTGCTTGATTAATATCTGACCTGATCTGTCCTGCTAAAAGTGGGTTGATAGCATACAACCAGTCATGAACTTCCTTATCTCCTAAGGTCTGCAACAGGAAGCCGCGCTGTTTTGTAACCACACTGTAATAATTAAAATTACAATTAGCAACATGTGTAATTCACCACAGGTATTACATATTTTATACAGTTAATTCTTAAAAAAATTATAATAAATTCTTACAAGAAAACCAATAAATGATTATCTAAGCCTTCTTACTGTAAGAATTTATGTACATACAGGAATTATAATTCATTGAGGTAGTAGGTTGGTAGACAGCAACCACCCAGGGAGGTACTACCGTCCTGCCGAGTGAGTGTAAAACGAAAGCCTGTAATGGTTTTACATGATGGTAGGACTGCTGGTGTCTTTTTTTCTGTTTCATAAACACGCAAGATTTCAGGTACATCTTGCTACTTCTACTTACACTTAGGTCACACTACACATACATATACAAGCATATATATACATACCCCTCTGGGTTTTCTTCTATTTTCTTTCTAGTTCTTGTTCTTGTCTATTTCCTCTTACCTCCATGGGGAAGTGGGACAGAATTCTTCCTCTGTAAGCCATGCGTGTTGTAAGAGGCGACTAAAATGAAGGGAGCAAGGGGCTAGTAACCCCTTCTCCCATATAAATTACTAAATTTAAAAAGAGAAACTTTTGTTTTTCTTTTTGGGCCACCCTGCCTTGGTGGGATACGGCCGGTTTGTTGAAAAAAAAAAAAAAATTATAATTCATCTGAAAGTTGTGAATTTGTTTAATTTGAACATGACTACTTGTTATTATTTATTTTATTAACACAATCGGCTCATTCCCACCAAGGCAGGGTGACCCGAAAAAGAAAAACTTTCATCATCATTCACTCCATCACTGTCTTGCCAGAGGGGTAGTTTACACTACAATTATAAAGCTGCAACATTAACACCCCTCCTTCAGAGTGTAGACACTGTACTGACTACTTGTGAATTAATAATAATATACTATATATTAACTATAATATGGTTTTCATGCAAGTATTAATTTTTTCAGAGAAAAAAAAATGCTAATTTTGACACAAATTTTAATCATATTCATATATAATATAACATCGTTTTATGTTTAACTTGTGAGGTAATGCATACGTACACTATATGCTGCAAATATGTACTGTATAGAGTGACAAATTGTTTTAATTTACAGTTATGTAAAAATTGAAATTTTCAACATGTAAACTAAATAGTGCAGATTGTTTACAAGATCTTCTGAGTAATTACTTCAGTAATTTTGTAGGGACTCACAGTGTTACTTATTAAGGGCATCACAGAAAATATCCTCATCCTTTCATCTTTCACATTCATTTTTTTTTTTTTCAACAAGTCGGCCGTCTCCCACCGAGGCAGGGTGACCCAAAAAAGAAAGAAAATCCCCAAAAAGAAAATACTTTCATCATCATTCAACACTTTCACCACACTCACACATTATCACTGCTTTTGCAGAGGTGCTCAGAATACAACAGTCTAGAAGCATACACATATAAAGATACACAACATATCCCTCCAAACTGCCAATATCCCAAACCCCTCCTTTAAAGTGCAGGCATTGTACTTCCCATTTCCAGGATTCAAGTCCTTCACTTAATATTACCCTACTCCAACTCCAACAGATCATCAGGTCCCAAGTACCATTCGTCTCCATTCACTCCTATCTAACACTCTCACGCACGCTTGCTGGAAGTCCAAGCCCCTCGCCCACAAAACCTCCTTTACCCCCTCTCTCCAACCCTTTCGAGGATGACCCCTACCCCGCCTTCCTTCCCCTATAGATTTATATGCTTTCCATGTCATTCTACTTTGATCCATTCTCTCTAAATGACCAAACCACCTCAACAACCCCTTTTCTGCCCTCTGACTAATGCTTTTATTAACTTCACACCTTTTCCTAATTTCCACACTCCGAATTTTCTGCATAATATTTACACCACACATTGCCCTTAAACAGGACATCTCCAATGCCTCCAACCGTCTCCTCGCTGCTGCATTTACCACCCAAGCTTCACACTCATATAAGAGTGTTGGTACTACTATACTTTCATACATTCCCTTCTTTGCCTCCATAGATAACGTTTTTTTGACTCCACATATACCTCAACGCACCACTCACCTTTTTTCCCTCATCAGTTCTATGATTAACCTCATTCTTCATAAATCCATCCGCCGACACGTCAACTCCCAAGTATCTGAAAACATTCACTTCTTCCATACTCCTCCTCCCCAATTTGATATCCAATTTTTCTTTATCTAAATCATTTGATACCCTCATCACCTTACTCTTTTCTATGTTCACTTTCAACTTTCTACCTTTACACACATTCCCAAACTCATCCACTAACCTTTGAAATTTTTCTTTAGAATCTCCCATAAGCACAGTATCATCAGCAAAAAGTAACTGTGTCAATTCCCATTTTGAATTTGATTCCCCAAAATTTAATCCCACTCCTCTGCCGAACACCATGGTGACATTACACATCCCTGTCTAAGACCTACTTTTATTGGGAAGTAGTCTCCCTCTCTTCTACACACCCTAACCTGAGCCTCACTATCCTCATAAAAACTCTTTACAGCATTTAATAACTTACCACCTATTCCATATACTTGCAACATCTGCCACATTGCTCCTCTATCCACTCTATCATATGCCTTTTCTAAATCCATAAATGCAATAAAAACTTCCCTACCTTTATCTAAATACTGTTCACATATATGCTTCAATGTAAACACTTGATCTACACATCCCCTACCCACTCTGAAACCTCCTTGCTCATCCGCAATCCTACATTCTGTCTTACCTCTAATTCTTTCAATTATAACCCTACCATACACTTTTCCTGGTATACTCAGTAAACTTATTCCTCTATAATTTTTACAATCTCTTTTGTCCCCTTTCCCTTTATATAAAGGGACTATACATGCTCTCTGCCAATCCCTAGGTACCTTCCCCTCTTTCATACATTTATTAAACAAAAGTACCAACCACTCCAACACTATATCCCCCCCTGCTTTTAACATTTCTGTCATGATCCCATCAGTTCCGGCTGCTTTACCCCCTTTCATTCTACGTAATGCCTCACGTACCTCCCCCACACTTACATTCTGCTCTTCACTCCTAAAAGATGGTATACCTCCCTGACCAGTGTATGAAATTACTGCCTCTCTTTCTTCCTTAACATTTAAAAGTTCCTCAAAATATTCTCGCCATCTACCTAATACCTCCATCTCCCCATCTACTAACTCCCCTACTCTGTTTTTAACTGACAAATCCATACTTTCCCTAGGCTTTCTTAACTTGTTTAACTCACTCCAAAATTTTTTCTTATTTTCATTAAAATTTCTTGACAGTGCCTCTCCCACTCTATCATCTGCTCTCCTTTTGCACTCTCTCACCACTCTCTTTACCTTTCTTTTACTCTCCATATGCTCTGCTCTTCTTATAACACTTCTGCTTTGTAAAAACCTCTCATAAGCTACCTTTTTCTCTTTTATCACACCCTTTACTTCATCATTCCACCAATCACTCCTCTTTCCTCCTGCCCCCACCCTCCTATAACCACAAACTTCTGCCCCACATTCTAATACTGCATTTTTAAAACTATTCCAACCCTCTTCAACCCCCCCCCACTACTCATCTTTGCACTAGCCCACCTTTCTGCCAATAGTCGCTTATATCTCACCCGAACTTCCTCCTCCCTTAGTTTATGCACTTTCACCTCCCTCTTACTTGTTGTTGCCACCTTCCTCTTTTCCCATCTACCTCTTACTCTAACTGTAGCTACAACTAAATAATAATCCGATATATCAGTTGCCCCTCTATAAACATGTACATCCTGGAGCCTACCCATCAACCTTTTATTCACCAATACATAATCTAATAAACTACTTTCATTACTTTATACATCATACCTTGTATATTTATTTATCCTCTTTTTCATAAAATATGTATTACTTATTACCAAATCTCTTTCTAAACATAGCTCAATTAAAGGCTCCCCATTTACATTTACCCCTGGCACCCCAAATTTACCTACTACTCCCTCTATAACATTTTTACCCACTTTAGCATTGAAATCCCCAACCACCATTACTCTCACACTTGATTCAACACTCCCCACGCATTCACTCAACATTTCCCAAAATCTCTCTCTCTCCTCTACACTTCTCTCTTCTCCAGGTGCATACATGCTTATTACAACCCACTTTTCACATCCAATCTTTATTTTACTCCACATAATCCTTGAATTAATACATTTATAGTCCCTCTTTTCCTGCCATAGCTTACCCTTCAACATTATTGCTATTAAAAATTTATCAATACACATCAGCATTATCTTCGATCAGAATATTTTACTCCATTTACCTTTGATCTATGAGAGCAAAATTTACACACACAGAAAATAAATCAAATGTTCAGAAGAATTACTGTAAAGAATTATTTAAGAAATACATATTCAATCAAGGCTGCTAATAAGATAAGCAATAAAAAAGAAGCATACTGACCTAAAGGAATTAGGTACTCGCACCATGGCTTGTTGGTCCTCTGAATATTCAATCTGGGCTGTAGCCAAGTTAATAAGTCCTCGTTCAACAGGATCACGCTCGTCTCTAAAGATAAACACATATGGCCGTCGTACCACCTGAGAAAAAATAAATTTTGGTTTCATTTAAGGGAACTGGCATTAAACATTGTACATATATCACAAATACAATTAAACCAGCATCTAAATCAGTTCCTGAATATTTGAAATGTAGCTTATAAAGCTTCATACTTTCACTAGCACTCAGATATCTAATTAACCCTCATGGATTTAGCACCTCAAATTAGGTAAATAAATAAATTAAACTATTGATTCTCCACCAACTCAATGTCCTGTCCAAAAAAATAATAATCATAATATACTTACCACCCATCTTTTTATCCATGTGTTCGTTCGATCGTCCAGCACATTTAGATAGCCTTTTCGACTGACTACAGGAGATATGCGTATTTCTTCAACTTCTGGGACAAACAGTGGCATGGGTCTACATTCAACCAAGGGTGATGAGCCCTGTGAATCTCCAGGGCTTGCTAGAGGAGAGTCAGGTGGCACAACAGCTGATCCACCAAGAGCAATATGAAGCTCTGGTACTGGGGCGCGGGGTCGCTCCGGTGAGGCTAACCTGAAATATATTGCAAAGATATTAACACTTGTGTGATTATTCATATTCGCTTTATGGGCAAGGAATATTTCCATTTTGTTTTTATTTTTTGATTCATTCTAGCTTTAATTTAAGAATTTGAAATATTTAATGATTTAGAGTTAAAGCAGCACTTGTGATATACAATAGATAAATCCATTAAGGTGGCTGCCTTAATGTTGGTGAAGGGCTTTGGGTTCAAGGAATTGGAGCTACCCTCCCCTTCCTTGAATTAAACATGATTACCTCACATTTCTCAGGTGATATATATTTCTCATGGGTTTAGGGCTTCCCTGTGAATATCATAATAATAATAATAATAATAATAATGAAGCATCCAGTAGGCTTATGAGCATGTTAGATATGAGTGAGTGAAGACAAGTGGATTTTATTGTTTGATGTCAACGCTGTATGACCCTTGTCGGTTTAGCGCTTTCTTTGATTATAATAATAATATTGTTTGATGTGCTGTTGGAGTGTGAGCAAGCTAACATTTATGAAGCGATTCAGGGGAAAACTGGCTGGCTGCACTTTAGTCCTGAATGTGAGAAGAACAGTGTTTACTCGGAGGTATGAGGATGCTGCAGTTCAGAGGGTAGTGTGGGATTTATACCAAGAAGTGTAAGCAACAGAAGTCCAGAGGTCATACTGCAGCTTTATACATCATTAGTAAGGCCTCACCTAGATTATGCAGCTCAATTCTGGTCTCCATATTACAGAATGGACATAAATTCATTAGAAAACATTCAGCGTAGGATGACTAAATTAATACATAGCATTAAAAATCTTCCTTATGAAGAAAGATTGAAGACTCTTAAGTTACATTCACTTGTTAGACGAAGAATGAGGGGAGACCTGATCAAAGTGTATAAGTGGAAGATAGGTATTAATAAGGTCTTGAGGATATCTCTCCAAGAGAGAACCCGCAGTAATGGATTTAAATTAGATAAGTTTAGATTTAGAAAGGACATTGTATTGGTTTGGAAATAGGGTAGTTGATGAGTGGAACAGTCTACCTAGGCTAGGACTTTGGGTAGTTTCAAATTTAGGTTGGATAAGTACATGAGTGGGAGGGGTTGGATCTGAGTGGGACTTGCACATCAGAGCTTATTTCTTAGGTAGCATTGAAAATTGGGTTGGACAAGTGTTTTGTTAGTGGGATGAATTGTTAAGGACCTGCCTAGTATGGGCCAACAGGCCTCCTGCATTGTAATCCTTATAGAGAATAAACTTTGAATCTGAATTTGAATATGTTCTTAACTGTGATATCTGCACAATTCTGACAAGTCATCTAATGAATGAATGATGGTGAATGTTTCCACTTTTGGGTCATGCTACCTTGCTGGGAGACAGCAAAAAAAACTGATGCTAAAGAATAAAATTACAATTACAGTGCTAACATGAGAAATACTTACTCAGCTGAGGTGGTGGAAGAGCACGAGGAGGTGACTGATGCTGTGAGAGCATCTTGTTCATCACTTGGTGTCTGTGCTGGTGTTTCTTGTTTGGCATGAATCTGTATAGATCGTCCCTAAGAGAAAATGTTTAATGTGTATGTATATATAGATTGGCATTCATTTATTTGGTCTCAACTGAAGAATGTTTTGGAATGTGAAATTAAAAAATAAATTTCAACCTATTTTGGCAAGGCTGTATGTAATCAAAATGTATAGATACAGTATACCATAATAAATACAAAAAGAGAAAGTATACTTCCTGTAGGAGTTAGGACATAGTATGCTTACCTACATAAGTCAGGAAAAAGTCTACAGTATGTACCTACACGAGCCAGAGCAAAGCATACTTGCCTGTATGTGCAGGTTGGGACAAATACACTTACCTGCATGTGCAGGCTATGACAAAGTATGCTTTCTTGTATGTGATAGGACAAAACATTCTTGCGTGTGTATGGTAGCTTAAGGTATGCTCTTTTGCACAAGGTTGACAAAATATACTTACCTGCATAAGCCGGGCAAATTTGAGAGCTGTAGCCCTTTCTGCATCACTCATATTATCAGAATCAGTGGCAGGCATTTCTCTGGAGGAGTACCGTGTTAACACTGCCCGGGCATCACATCCAGCCTTAGCTGCTTGATTAGCCACTTCCTGTATAAAAAATAATAATCTTTACATTCAGAAAGGTCAGCAAGGTAATATTTATGAAATAATTCAGGGAACTAAGTCTGGTTAGTCAGACTGGAGTCCTGGAGGTGGGTAGTATAGTGCTTCCATTCTGAAGGAGGAGTGGGGATGTTGCAGTTTGGAGATTCACTGAAATTGTGAAGTCTGCATACCTCTGGTAAGACAGCTACTGAATGAATGACAGTGAATGTTTCCTATTTTTTGGGTCACCCCTAGCGTGGTGGAAGATGTCCATTGTATTAAAATTATTCAGAAGGTACATTACATTTTGGGGATTTTTTTTCTTTTTGGGTCACCCTGCCTCAGTGGGAAATGGCCAACTTGTTGAAAAAAAAAAAAAAAATTACATCTGGTGTGAGGCTGGAATTATAATTTTGCATACATACTTTTGAATACTGTGCTTTTGGGGGATTCTAATGAAAAGTTGCAAAGGTTAGTGGACAAGATTGGGAGGGTGTGTAAAGGTATAAAGTTGAAACTGAATATAGATAAGAGTAAGGTGATGAGGGTATCAAATGATTTAGATCAAGAAAAATTGGATATCACACTGGAGGGAGTATGGAAGTAGTGAATATTTTCAGATATTTGGGAGTTGACTTGTCAGTGGATGGGTTTATGAAGAATGAGGTAAACCATAGAATTGATGAAGGAAAAAAGGCGGGTGGTGCGTCGAGGTATCTGTGGAGACAAATAACGTTATCCATGGAGGCAAAGACAGGAATGTACAAGAGTATAGTGGTACCAACATTCTTATATGGGTGTGAAGCTTGGGTTGTAAATGCTGTAGTGAGGAGGTGGCTGGAGGCAGTGGAGATGTTGTGTCTAAGGGCAATGTGTGGTGTAAATATTATGCAGAGAATTCCTAGTATGGAAATTAGGTGGTGGTGTTGACTTACTAAAAGTATTAGTAAGAGAGCTGAAGAGGGGCTGTTGAGGTGGTTTGGTAATTTAGAGATAATGGAACAAAGTAGAATGACTTGGAGACTGTATAAATCTATTGGGGAAGGAAGGCAGGGTAGGGGTTAGTAAGTAAGTTTATTCAGGTATACACAAATACAGTTACAAAGAATTATCATACATAGCAGCATATGTGTAGAGAACCTAGGATAACCCAAAAAAGTCAGACAGAGTGACTTATTTCCATTCCCCGAAAAGGTTGGAGGGACGGGGTAAAGGAAGTTTTGTGGGTGAGGGGGCTTGGACTTCCAGCAAGTGTGCATGAGCGTGTTTGATAGGAATGAATGGAGACGATTGTTTTACATGATGGTAGGATTGCTGGTGTCTTTTCTGTCTCATAAACAGACAAGATTTCAGGTATGTCTTGCTACTTCTACTTACACTTAGGTCACACTACACATACATGTACAAGCATATATATACACACCCCTCTGGGTTTTCTTCTATTTTCTTTCTAGTTCTTGTTCTTGTTTATTTCCTCTTATCTCCATGGGGAAGTGGAACAGAATTCTTCCTCCGTAAGCCATGCGTGTTATAAGAGGTGACTAAAATGCCAGGAGCAAGGGCCTAGTAACCCCTTTTCCTGTATAAATTACTAAATTTAAAAAGAGAAACTTTCGTCTTTCTTTTTGGGCCACCCTGCCTTGGTGGGATATGACCGGTTTGTTGAAAAAAAAAAAAAAAAAAAAAAAAAGAATGGAGACGAATGGTTTTTGGGACCTGACGAGCTGTTGGAGTGTGAGCAGGGTAATATTTTGTGAAGGGATTCAGGGAAACCAGTTAGCTGGACTTGAGTCCTGGAAATGGGAAGTACAATGCCTGCACTTTAAAGGAGGGGTTTAGGATATTGGCAGTTTAGAGGGACATTTAAACTGTCGTATCTGAGCGCCTCTGCAAAGACAGTGATTATGTATGAGTGATGGTGAGTGTTGAATGATGAAAGTTTTTTCTTTCTTTTTGGGTCACCCTGCCTCAGTAAGAAATGGCTGACGTGTTAAAAAAAAACTTTTGAAGTCTATAATTATGCCCAGGTTTTAGGCAGAAAACTAGAATTAGACTATACAAGGCATTACTGTGTTGTATCTACTAGGAAGCTTATGCTAATAAATGGGTGACTTAACCCGTCAACGGTCCAAGCAGATCTACGTTCACATGTGTAGTGCTACAAAAGTAGATCTACTTTTTTTTACATATTTTCAAATAAAACAAAAAAAAAAGTAGATCAAAGTTTGTTTACACATTTTCAAATGTAAAAAACAAAAAGAAGATCTACATTTTTTACATACTTTCAAATGTTGAAAAAACGTATATATACGTTCGGACCGTTTACGGGTTAAAAATGAATGATAAAAAAAATTAATAAAGAACAAAAGGTGTGTTATACTAAGTATTACTAAGAATATTTTATCAAAATATTCAGCAAGCCTTCAGTTAATTATCATTCAGTAGTTATCAAAAAATTATTCCCATATTTCTTACATATGGAGAAAAACTTATTAAATACCAACTACAGTAGTTTACTTTTTGCTAGTAACACCATTTACTTTTTCCGTGTTTCATTTCATATAATCAAAAACTGACTTGGTGATATGCTAACCTTTTCACTTTTGGTGAAATCATGGTGGTGATTGAGGGGCTGAGGAGTGCTGCCAAGACCTAGCTTTTCTCGTAAGAGGAGGAAGTGTCTTGTTCTCTCAACTTGAGTCAAGCGTGTGATCTTTTCTAGTTCCCACTGGTGTTCAAAAATGAGAGAATCACCCCGTGGTCTCCAGCCATGAAGATTCTCTTCGCCCCTAACGTAAGTAGAGCTCGTGTCCAGCACCCGTCGCTGTCTTCTTTGCAAGCCTGAGAAGTTAATTATTTATTTGTTTACTGTCTTCACTGTAAGACTAAAAATGCCATCACTTATTAACTGATTTAAAGAATAGACCTGAGTATGTATATACCAGACACAATATCCACAATTTTTATCAATGAAGCCTTTGCTAACAACTTGGTACATATGAAGAGAGCTGGTCACAGGTCATTAGGTGTATGTTTGCAAACTCATGCCCCACTAGTCTTGGGTCACAAACAAAGACGTGTAAAAGCATCAAGCATCTAAGTACTACTCAAGCAGATTCAGGATATTATATTGATTGAAGGTGGTGGCAAGAGGATCAGTGTTTACAAATATTTAGTTCAAATTAAATTATAATCTAACTTCATACAATGACACTATAACAGCTACATCAATGTTTTATATTTTACTTGAGCATGCATATGTAATGCTAGTCTTAGTAAATTGTTGTAAATGTAATATTTATCTGTTAAAGTAAAAGTTATCAAACAATATTTATATGTACTTAAGGAACGTGAATGCACAAAATTACAGTAGTGTTAACCATCAGTAAGTAAACCATGACTGGCAGTGGAGATATATTTGTAGTCTAACTACAAAAAAAGGACGTGCATTAAAAAACTTGTGCAAACTAATAATTTATCCTAAGGTCTAAAAAAATTATATTTGCTTTTAATCTATACACAGTATTTACAGCTTTGTTCCTTCACATCAATAAATTCCTTGAAAAGCTTTTGCTTACAGGGTTGTATCACTTATTTAATGCAATTACAAACAATTTGCACTTTAGGGAATGTTCTCACTATTGTCTTTCAAGGTCTAGCATTCTCGTTTTGCTCCTATACACTAAATTCTCTCTAACTCTCTCTTTTATCCCAGTTCTCATATCTGCAACATCATTTGCTACCTCACAGCTTCTATATATTTTTCTTCTATATTACTTTTTATATAACAATGACCCCCAGAACACCCTCCAAGTACACTCCCCCTACAGGTATATAAAAATATAATAGCATTATTTAAATTATTTCCCTCAAATAACTTGAATTATAGACTGGTCCATCTTTCTACATCCACATACCACTGCTAGAGGTGAAGGAAAAGAGGTGTATATTAACTTGCAATAATTTTTCAAGAAACCCGCAGTTTTTGTGTGCCACACTGGGAAATGACTGCTATGCAAAAGATATATTCATGTAGCATATAGAGTCCATGATATAAAAATGTGCATATAGAAATAAAGTAAAAACAGCAGCATAAATATATTAAATAGTTAATCTAGAGATCAAAGTGACTAGGTAGTTGTACCTTCTTCTCTTGAAAATAATTTTTAAATCTACTGAGAGCAGGTATTATCTGCACTTGGAAACATAGTTCTTCTCCAGTGACAAACTTCCTAATACAATAAACACAATTCCTTTTCTCATTTCCTAATATTTGTCTTCCTTCTGGTTACATTTGCTCTTCATATATCTGAGAAACGTTTAATGGAAGAACAAAGAACACACAATGACACTGGCAAGAGTGTGTCCTACTATGAAGTGAAGACTCTGCCTTATACAGATATATATATATGGCAAAAAGGGAGCATACAGGCAAATTCTTTATATGACTGACATTTTGACACAAGATTTAATAGTAAGCAGTGGAATGCCATGAAGAGCATTTAAGTACAAAGGCATGTTGATGTGAATTCTGCTAGAGAACTAAGCCTTAAAATATTCATATATTAGGAAAATAACACTGAATGGTGGGCAATTGAGTGTATATGTTTTGACAGAATTTTGTCAAGGAAGGCTAATAAGGACTGGAATACTTCCCTTACTTCTGCTTTTATTCTATTGTCTCCACTTTTACTTTTTCCATAGCATATATGTGATGGGGAATCCTTATCATGTATCTCTGTCTTTATTTCAACAGCAGTAGAAATAATACTAAAATTTGTTAGAAATACACAGACTTTGTTTTAAATAAATTATATATATATAAAAACATAAAAAATAATATAAAGAAAAATGAACCATCCACAATATCTATATTATCTGTGCTCACTTTCCCACCAGAAATGGGTTGTATCGCCCCTAAAAAAAGTCCCTTATCCAACTGCAGTACTAGAGCATATCAACTTCATTCATTGCACCTACTAATGTGTTTATCCCTATAGTTGCTCTCATCCTTACTTGTTTCTGGTACACAATCCACACATTCTCCACCTTTTCCTACAAAAGCGACTTTCTTTAAAAAGCTTATTCACTACACCTGTTCGGCCACTTTTGTTGTCTGTTCCTTAACCCTTTCAGGGTTGGTGCCGTACTAATATTGCTTGCGAGCCAGGGTTGGTGCCGTACTAGTACGCGTAAATTTTAGTGCCTTCAAGTCTAGCGTAAGCTGGTAGGTCTACATATGAAAGAATGGGTCTGTGTGGCCATTGTGCCAAGTATAAAAAAAATCCTGCAACACACAGTGCATAATGAGAAAAAAAAAAACTGTGTTTTTGGTTTACAACAGAGACTTTGCAGTGTATTTTTGTATGGTATTTATGGTTGTATTCTTGTTTTCTTGGTCTCATTTGATAGAATGGAAGATATATTACAGAAATAAAAGATGATTTTGATTGGTATCATGATGACAAGTACCTTGAAATTGAGCTCAAAGCAGCGAAAATGTTCGATTTTTGCCAATGTCCAAGAGTAAACAAATCACGCCACGCATCCAATACACGTCAACTGGTGAGCCTAATATTCTTTCATAAGTGCGCTGATATTATTTATACCGTTTTTACTATGATGCAGTTGTATACATAACAGTAAATCTTCTATTTTTTGTGAGAATAAAAGTTCAAAATGGAAAGCAAAAAGTAATGTAAGAGGGGCATGGAGACATGACTAATGAGCAGATAAAATGTTATTTTAGTGCCAGGAATGTTTGTCTTGTTTATTCTGGACACTATTTTGAAACCGGCATCTTTTGAAATTTGTGTGAAATTGGCCAAATTGCCAATTTCTGACTATTTTATTTTTTTTTTTTTTTTTTTATTATCACACCGGCCGATTCCCACCAAGGCAGGGTGGCCCGAAAAAGAAAAACTTTCACCATCATTCACTCCATCACTGTCTTGCCAGAAGGGTGCTTTACACTACAGTTTTTAAACTGCAACATTAACACCCCTCCTTCAGAGTGCAGGCACTGTACTTCCCCTCTCCAGGACTCAAGTCCGGCCTGCCGGTTTCCCTGAATCCCTTCATAAATGTTACTTTGCTCACACTCCAACAGCACGTCAAGTATTAAAAACCATTTGTCTCCATTCACTCCTATCAAACACGCTCACGCATGCCTGCTGGAAGTCCAAGCCCCTCGCACACAAAACCTCCTTTACCCCCTCCCTCCAACCCTTCCTAGGCCGACCCCTACCCCGCCTTCCTTCCACTACAGACTGATACACTCTTGAAGTCATTCTGTTTCGCTCCATTCTCTCTACATGTCCGAACCACCTCAACAACCCTTCCTCAGCCCTCTGGACAACAGTTTTGGTAATCCCGCACCTCCTCCTAACTTCCAAACTACGAATTCTCTGCATTATATTCACACCACACATTGCCCTCAGACATGACATCTCCACTGCCTCCAGCCTTCTCCTCGCTGCAACATTCATCACCCACGCTTCACACCCATATAAGAGCGTTGGTAAAACTATACTCTCATACATTCCCCTCTTTGCCTCCAAGGACAAAGTTCTTTGTCTCCACAGACTCCTAAGTGCACCACTCACTCTTTTTCCCTCATCAATTCTATGATTCACCTCATCTTTCATAGACCCATCCGCTGACACGTCCACTCCCAAATATCTGAATACGTTCACCTCCTCCATACTCTCTCCCTCCAATCTGATATTCAATCTTTCATCACCTAATCTTTTTGTTATCCTCATAACCTTACTCTTTCCTGTATTCACCTTTAATTTTCTTCTTTTGCACACCCTACCAAATTCATCCACCAATCTCTGCAACTTCTCTTCAGAATCTCCCAAGAGCACAGTGTCATCAGCAAAGAGCAGCTGTGACAACTCCCACTTTGTGTGTGATTCTTTATCTTTTAACTCCACGCCTCTTGCCAAGACCCTCGCATTTACTTCTCTTACAACCCCATCTATAAATATATTAAACAACCACGGTGACATCACACATCCTTGTCTAAGGCCTACTTTTACTGGGAAAAAATTTCCCTCTTTCCTACATACTCTAACTTGAGCCTCACTATCCTCGTAAAAACTCTTCACTGCTTTCAGTAACCTACCTCCTACACCATACACTTGCAACATCTGCCACATTGCCCCCCTATCCACCCTGTCATACGCCTTTTCCAAATCCATAAATGCCACAAAGACCTCTTTAGCCTTATCTAAATACTGTTCACTTATATGTTTCACTGTAAACACCTGGTCCACACACCCCCTACCTTTCCTAAAGCCTCCTTGTTCATCTGCTATCCTATTCTCCGTCTTACTCTTAATTCTTTCAATTATAACTCTACCATACACTTTACCAGGTACACTCAACAGACTTATCCCCCTATAATTTTTGCACTCTCTTTTTTCCCCTTTGCCTTTATACAAAGGAACTATGCATGCTCTCTGCCAATCCCTAGGTACCTTACCCTCTTCCATACATTTATTAAACAATTGCACCAACCACTCCAAAACTATATCCCCACCTGCTTTTAACATTTCTATCTTTATCCCATCAATCCCGGCTGCCTTACCCCCTTTCATTTTACCTACTGCCTCACGAACTTCCCTCACACTCACAACTGGCTCTTCCTCACTCCTACAAGATGTTATTCCTCCTTGCCCTATACACGAAATCACAGCTTCCCTATCTTCATCAACATTTAACAATTCCTCAAAATATTCCTTCCATCTTCCCAATACCTCTAACTCTCCATTTAATAACTCTCCTCTCCTATTTTTAACTGACAAATCCATTTGTTCTCTAGGCTTTCTTAACTTGTTAATCTCACTCCAAAACTTTTTCTTATTTTCAACAAAATTTGTTGATAACATCTCACCCACTCTCTCATTTGCTCTCTTTTTACATTGCTTCACCACTCTCTTAACCTCTCTCTTTTTCTCCATATACTCTTCCCTCCTTGCATCACTTCTACTTTGTAAAAACTTCTCATATGCTAACTTTTTCTCCCTTACTACTCTCTTTACATCATCATTCCACCAATCGCTCCTCTTCCCTCCTGCACCCACTTTCCTGTAACCACAAACTTCTGCTGAACACTCTAACACTACATTTTTAAACCTACCCCATACCTCTTCGACCCATTGCCTATGCTCTCATTAGCCCATCTATCCTCCAATAGCTGTTTATATCTTACCCTAACTGCCTCCTCTTTTAGTTTATAAACCTTCACCTCTCTCTTCCCTGATGCTTCTATTCTCCTTGTATCCCATCTACCTTTTACTCTCAGTGTAGCTACAACTAGAAAGTGATCTGATATATCTGTGGCCCCTCTATAAACATGTACATCCTGAAGTCTACTCAACAGTCTTTTATCTACCAATACATAATCCAACAAACTACTGTCATTTCGCCCTACATCATATCGTGTATACTTATTTATCCTCTTTTTCTTAAAATATGTATTACCTATAACTAAACCCCTTTCTATACAAAGTTCAATCAAAGGGCTCCCATTATCATTTACACCTGGCACCCCAAACTTACCTACCACACCCTCTCTAAAAGTTTCTCCTACTTTAGCATTCAAGTCCCCTACCACAATTACTCTCTCACTTGGTTCAAAGGCTCCTATACATTCACTTAACATCTCCCAAAATCTCTCTCTCTCCTCTGCATTCCTCTCTTCTCCAGGTGCATACACACTTATTATGACCCACTTCTCGCATCCAACCTTTACTTTAATCCACATAATTCTTGAATTTACACATTCATATTCTCTTTTCTCCTTCCATAACTGATCATTTAACATTACTGCTACCCCTTCCTTTGCTCTAACTCTCTCAGATACTCCAGATTTAATCCCATTTATTTCCCCCCACTGAAACTCTCCTACCCCCTTCAGCTTTGTTTCGCTTAGGGCCAGGACATCCAACTTGTGTAGTTGAAATCAGTAAATGGGCTTAAGAAATCGTAATGACACGATTGCAAATAAACCATACCCCCGGCCGGGATTGAACCCGCGGTCATAGAGTCTCAAAACTCCAGCCCGTCGCGCTAGCCACTAGACCAGCTAGCCACAATAAGATTCATCCAACTAGGTATATTTCTACACCATAGGAAAGTTAGCACAGGCACCTCTGTGACCACAAATGCAAGTTTTTACAGACGAATCTCCAGCTAGCGTGGCCGTGACGAACTCTAGCTCAAGTCCCTTCACTGCCGTCAACATGACTTAAGAAATCGTAATGACACGATTGCAAATAAACCATACCCCCGGCCGGGATTGAACCCGCGGTCATAGAGTCTCAAAACTCCAGCCCGTCGCGCTAGCCACTAGACCAGCTAGCCACAATAAGATTCATCCAACTAGGTATATTTCTACACCATAGGAAAGTTAGCACAGGCACCTCTGTGACCACAAATGCAAGTTTTTACAGACGAATCTCCAGCTAGCGTGGCCGTGACGAACTCTAGCTCAAGTCCCTTCACTGCCGTCAACATGACTTAAGAAATCGTAATGACACGATTGCAAATAAACCATACCCCCGGCCGGGATTGAACCCGCGGTCATAGAGTCTCAAAACTCCAGCCCGTCGCGCTAGCCACTAGACCAGCTAGCCACAATAAGATTCATCCAACTAGGTATATTTCTACACCATAGGAAAGTTAGCACAGGCACCTCTGTGACCACAAATGCAAGTTTTTACAGACGAATCTCCAGCTAGCGTGGCCGTAGAAATATACCTAGTTGGATGAATCTTATTGTGGCTAGCTGGTCTAGTGGCTAGCGCGACGGGCTGGAGTTTTGAGACTCTATGACCGCGGGTTCAATCCCGGCCGGGGGTATGGTTTATTTGCAATCGTGTCATTACGATTTCTTAAGTCATGTTGACGGCAGTGAAGGGACTTGAGCTAGAGTTCGTCACGGCCACGCTAGCTGGAGATTCGTCTGTAAAAACTTGCATTTGTGGTCACAGAGGTGCCTGTGCTAACTTTCCTATGGTGTAGAAATATACCTAGTTGGATGAATCTTATTGTGGCTAGCTGGTCTAGTGGCTAGCGCGACGGGCTGGAGTTTTGAGACTCTATGACCGCGGGTTCAATCCCGGCCGGGGGTATGGTTTATTTGCAATCGTGTCATTACGATTTCTTAAGTCATGTTGACGGCAGTGAAGGGACTTGAGCTAGAGTTCGTCACGGCCACGCTAGCTGGAGATTCGTCTGTAAAAACTTGCATTTGTGGTCACAGAGGTGCCTGTGCTAACTTTCCTATGGTGTAGAAATATACCTAGTTGGATGAATCTTATTGTGGCTAGCTGGTCTAGTGGCTAGCGCGACGGGCTGGAGTTTTGAGACTCTATGACCGCGGGTTCAATCCCGGCCGGGGGTATGGTTTATTTGCAATCGTGTCATTACGATTTCTTAAGTCATGTTGACGGCAGTGAAGGGACTTGAGCTAGAGTTCGTCACGGCCACGCTAGCTGGAGATTCGTCTGTAAAAACTTGCATTTGTGGTCACAGAGGTGCCTGTGCTAACTTTCCTATGGTGTAGAAATATACCTAGTTGGATGAATCTTATTGTGGCTAGCTGGTCTAGTGGCTAGCGCGACGGGCTGGAGTTTTGAGACTCTATGACCGTGGGTTCAATCCCGGCCGGGGGTATGGTTCAGTAAATGGGCATTGGCTTAAGCCAGTGGGAGAATTGGACCTGCCTCACATGAGCCAGTAGGCCTGCTGCAGTGTTCCTTCTTTCTTTTGTTCTTGTACTCAATCGATAAAACAAATGGAGTTCTAGCGAAATAGCTATGATTTTAGTAGACTGGAACATTGGAATTGGCTAAAAATAGCTTCACAAGAGCATAATTCGATAAGTTTCCCCATCAAATTTCATACTTTTGGTGTCATTACGATTGGAAAAAGATTCTCTATCATTTCACAAGAAAAAATCATTTTTCTTTTTCTAAAAATTTTTCGACCCTGAGAACAAGTTTGGGAAGGCCTCTCGACCCTGAAAGGGTTAACCTGTAGTCTATACAATACATCTTATAGCTTAACTATTTCTTCCACTGACAATCATTAAACAAAATCTGATAGTTATTAACTGAATGTTATTTATTAAATGTTAGGTTAATAACAATATTACAAAACAAGAAAAATTTCTCACTAGTTAACCCCTATAATACTATTTTTTCCTCTTTGTAACCTAACATTTATTTAGCATTATTGTTAATTCTGTGTAATTAAGATTCCATTAAATCAACAACGGATAAATGTGTAACTTTTGTATAAGGTTTTCTTCTGTAATACAATAGGCATGATAAGTTTTGATATATGCTGCTGCAGACACATTTAGCTCTCTAAATAACATATTGGAGAGCATTACATAACTAGTGTATAAGAAAGCAATGACCTGAGTTAAATTATATATGTTACAAAACAATAGCAAACTGAGCTGTTCAAATAATTTTCTCAACAGCATCTTATTTTCAATGAACTGACAAATGTTCAGAGTAAAAGAAATAAAATTATTTATCAACAGGAGGTAGGCAAGCAGCAAAGCAGCGTACCGTAGCTGGAGAAGCAGTGGTGGTTGCAGGGTGGCCCAGTCATAGATACAGCCGCCCTCCCACCCCCCTAATCCCACAAGGAAATATGGGAAGGTTTTCCAATACCAGGCTTCTGGGCAGGTTGGGCGGCCCTTGACCACCTCTCTACATCTGTTAGGACTAAACCACAAACCTGGGCTACCTGCTTCAGCTGCGCGCTTTAGTACTGTCTCATAAACGCCGCATATCCTGTTAGCCTCTGCATTCTTGTATGAGCCACTGAAGATATGACGTAGAGAACGGGGGATAGTTCGAGAGTCTCGGCCATAAACAACCATGCATAGGTCTTTGGTGATTATGGCTGGCTGTGCATTGTTTTCAAGCTGCCAAAATAAAATGATATCATATGTTACATACATGGACAATGTAAAATATGTAGTTACTTACCTACATATGAATGTGATAAATGTATGTAGTCCTGCAGTCGTCTCATGCTCATCACTAATAACAAAAAAGTGATAAAGTGAAAACATTTTTTCCACAATATTAAAATGATGCAAGATATCCACTGTACATGTACGGTTGATCTGTTAGACGAGTTATACTCATAATCTCACGTACAATGTGCACTCGCTTCACAACTCAAATCTTCATCATGGTCTGATTCTTGGGGCTGCATTCATAAGGCACCACACATCCCTCTCTGCTATTTGTTTCTTTTTCTATTACAATTTTCCCTATTGTATACGTTAATATTTTTGGTATAAGAAAATACGTCAGTGAACTGTTTAACTAATCAGTAAAATAATTTGAAACTCAACAACTGTTAATGTTGCTTGTGAATGTATAGTGTTGGTAGTTACCAGGTTTTCCAATAACTGCGTATACTTTAGTTGAAATGTATGAAGAGTTAAATTAACTGAATATTGTTACTACTTCAAGAATAATTAATAAATCCTACACAAATATGCATTAATAAATGTTTACAATTTAATTGTATTATATAATTGTGTAATGTATCAATGATGCTGTACAAGTAAGAACTGCAAAAACAAACACACATGACAAGAGAGATTGTCAGTTGTAATAAAACAAGATACATATAGTACAAAGCTCTGGTAGAGTGCAAAATAGAGAAGCATGTGGAGTTACAGAGTACAAGCTGTAGTCAGCACACACACAGTGGTGCTTGAAGCAGTGTGGCTGCACAGGACAAATATTAATGGCACACTGAGTGTTTTATTCCAATAAAATAGTACATATTACGTACTGTATATACATTTTTGAAAAAAAAAATTTATACTGTAGAGTATACAGCACATACTTTCATGCAATAATATGTGTGGTAGCCCTGGTATAAGAATTAAGATATATCAATTTGCTTGTAAAGTTTCTATTGTCATTACATTTGTATCCTAAAATTTCCTCTGAAATAATGTTCTATAACTTTATACAAAAATGTATTAGCAAAATAATTATTCTTTCAAAAATTAAACCTTCTTAAGGCTGTTTTTATGTTCACATTCAATGTGGAAATAATCATGCATTTTAACCTCCCATATCAGCAGCAATGTTACAGTGACATACTGTACATACCTCTAAATAAGCTGATATTGTCATATATACATGTTCTCCTGGAGGTGTTACACGGTTCAGCATGATGGAGTTGTGAAGAGAGGAGTCCCAAGCAGCTTCAAATCGGAAGAGTGTGCGGTCTTCTCCAGGGTATTCTAAGTATTCTCCCGGGAACAGACCCAGAGACAAGACTGAGGCATCATTATTATCATCCTCACTTTCTGGAGTTGTGCGTATACGACCTGTAAACAATAACATAGGATTGGTGAGTAGAATGTGCCTAGCATGAGCAAGTCTACTACAGTACTCATTTATTATGTTTATTAAATGTTTATCAAACTTTTTCATTGTTATTTTTGTTTTCAGTACTTTTTCTAAGTTTCAGCTAGAATATATTTTGCATCAAAACCAGATGACCCCCTTTTAAAGTTGACTTTTATATGAGATGCATTAAAAGTTAAGATTTTTTTTTTTTTTTTGCAAAGTCAGGATTTACCATATAAGATACGTACCCTAGTATATATGGCACTGTATACACTAGAGTTTATATGGTGCCATACATTTACATTGTCTTTCATAGTCATTTGATTTTTCTACTTTTAACATAATGTAATTACAAAATTTGTAGTTACTTGATACTGTAAACCATCAGTGACAGTTTACACTCATGTATGTAGGCAATGTGATGATATCTTACACTAAATATCTTACACTGAAAATGTAACAATGATACTAAATTTCAAGTCAAATATCAATTTTAACCTATGGTAGACTTGTATTTATAGTAGACTGTCAATTTTTCACTGACATGTTAAGATTTACTTTATGTCATTGTATCATATTTAGAATACATCCTTACTTACTAAGAGCAATAGATAATGGTGGAGTTTTTACAGATACCCTAAAGCTTTTCATATAAGACATATATGTTAAGTTCATTATTAATTCAAGAAAAAAATTAAATTTGATTACTAACAGACATTCAGATTTTTTATTTATTTAAGGACTGGCTTTTTATATTACGTACCAACAACAAGCTCTCGCACATCACGCCATATCAGATCATGAGAAGGTTCATGTACAATGGTAATGCGAATACGGCGTTGGATACCCTGATGCAAGAGGAAGAGTCCTCGGCATGGCAGATCATCCCCGTGTTCAACCACTGCTGGAACATATTCTCCACTCTGTGCTGTTGTCAAAAAAATGGATCCACTCTAGTATATAATTTCACTTGCATGTTGAAACAGTTCATTTAGAAAGAAATACAGAGATACAGTAAGAATCATCATGTAGTAGACCAACTCTGTGCAGAGAATTACCTATTTGTAGTTATGGAAATAAATCTATTAGTGCTGTCTCAACTTTATTATATTATTTATTATACATATTTTCTAAGTTTCCAGTGGGTTTGGCCTGTACAATACCAGATGATTATAATCTGTCACAGTCTGCACTAATAACACAGTCTAGTAATAAGTTAAAATAACCAGAACCAGTTAAAAATATGAAATAATATAGCCAAAAAGCAAAGGAAAAAATAACAAACATAATAACAAAATTGTAATTATTATTATTTATTAAACATGAACTCAACGTTTTTTTTTTTTTTTTTAACTCAACAGCCGTCTCCCAAGAATGCAGGGTAACCCACAGACGAGAACACAGTCAATATCATTTATTTAACTGCCATCTTTCCAGAAGTGTACTACTGATTTCACAATTCAGATTACCCACCGACTGCAGCATCCCCACCTTCAGAGTAAAGGCGCTGCCCTTCCCATCTCCAGGACTCAAGTCCAGCTAACCAATTTCTGTGAATTCCTTCATAAATATTACCTTGTTCACACTCCAACAGTAATCTATTAAAACCACTTGTCTCCATTCACTACTATCTAACACACTGAATACTCAAGCCCCTAAAATTCAAAGCCACTTTTACCCCCTCCTTCCGATCATTCTTGGGATTACCACTAACCCTCCTACTTTCCTACCTGTCCCTCTCCATTCTCTCTACATGCCCAAACCACCTCAAAAAACCCTCTTCAGCCCTCTGAAGTACACTCATGGTACTCCACATCTCTATACATACATATAAAAGAGTATGCAAAACATGAATGCATTTTGTGAAAATGTGCTGAGAGGAAACTATTTGTTTTTATTACTGTTTTTGCAATTATAGCAACTGCAGATTGCTATTGGTAAGTCATTAATTAGATCCAAAGTCCCACTGTTGTAAGTGCTGAACATCATAAATCAGAGACCTACTGTAAAGTGTCCAAGGTCAAAAGCAAAACATAAAAATAGTTAAAGCTTACCTAGTTCGCAGATCTCGAACCAGACGAGAAGATCATGTCGAGCATGTACATGTGAGGTAGAAGGACTCTGTACAACACCAAACTTGGGTGACCGTATTGGCTGACTGATGGGGATGGCGGGAGGCTGCATCCTCTTCGGTGGAGCTCGAGAGCTGCCGGGAGGTACCATGCCAGGGGGTAAGCTGAAGAACCACCACACAGCAAAGATCCAGCCATAAAACATCCATATCAGCAGTGGCATCACACCATCAAAGCAGCCAGGAAAGGTGAAGAGAAGACAACACAGCAGCCCACATTAGAGTGGCATGCAGGAAAAATAAGTGGGAAGGAAATAAACACACTCAAGGCAGTAAAAGTCTAACATAAAAAAGAAAAAATCTTGTTTTTATAATAGTGGGCACCATTAAAGATACAATAACACCCTCTTGGCAAGATACAGTCTTGGTATCAACAGGAAAGCCAATTTGGAAAAAAGGAAAGAAAGAAATAATTATAAAAAATATAATTCACATTTGCTGATTAATTTAGGGATATTTAGTATTAAAATGCATTTTTTTAACACAACAGCTGTCTCCCACCAAGGCAGGGTGACCCAAAAGAAAGAAAAACCCAAAAAGAAATAAAAAACTTTCATTATTAGTCAACACTGTCACCATCACTCATACATAATCACTGTCTTTGCAGAGGTGCCCAGATACGACAGTTTAGATACTCGCTCCAAACTGTCAACATCCCAAACCCCTCCTTTAAAGTGCAGGCACTATACTTCCCATTTCCAGGACTCAAGTCTGGTTAACCGGTTTCCCCGAATCCCTTCACAAAATATTACCCTGCTCATACTCCAACAGCTCGTCAGGTCCCAAAAACCATTTGTCTGCATTATTTAACATAAAAAGCATATTAATATAATAAAAAGGTAAAAATGACTCAACTGCTGAACTATTTACTATACAACAAAGGAGTCTTAATACTGTATGCAGTGAAGTTCCACTTATCTACAAACTAATGAACCATAACTCTCAAGTATACTCTCCTGTGCTCATTTTGCTTTTTTTAGAAAACATTTAATCTTCCAGTATCATAGTGCATCTTAAACCATTTATATAAATCCAGAAACCAAGAAAAAATTAAAAGCACACACTTTTCTATGGAGCTCTGAATACAGTACACGGTCAGTGCAGCTTTCTAGTTGCTTTGGCAGCAGAGATTTTGTAAGGTTGGTTGGTGGTCAGTTGGTCTCTTGTCTGTCTGTCTGTCTGTCTCTCTGTCATTCATTTAGTCAAGTCAGTAAATCCATTCTTTCTTTTCTTGTCAACAGGAAGTGGATGGTACTTGTGATCTTGTCAGCAGCATGTGGATGGCACTGGTGATCTTGTCAGTATCATGTGGATAATACTAGTGGTCTTGTCAGTACCATGTGGATGGTACTGGTGGTCTTGTCAGTACCAGTTGTCACATGTACCAGTACACTCGGTTGTGGCACAGTCTCTTCAGTGTTATCACTATCAATATGCTTTTGTTTCCTACTTCAATTTTGTTTACTAACACTCAAACTGTAACTCTTATGTTCTCTATGTTCCTCTTGTTGACAATGTGTTCATCTTTATTACTAGCATCAGAAGCAATACGTGGATACTTGAGGTGTCTGGATACTTGAGATTTGTGGAGTGTATGTATTTTGCTCCAGTATTCATAAATATATAAAGACTTCTGACAAAAAATCATGCATCTTTAGAGGAGTAAAAGCACAAAAATAAGCACTATTAAATACTCAATACACTATTAAATACAAAAATTTATTAAAAGAGTGGGCCACTGCATCACTTACACAACAATGCTTATTCACACATACATACTATCATTTATTAAAACTTAAACAGATATATGATAAGTGGTTGAGTGTGAGTAGGACCTGCCTAGTGTACAGTAGTATGGGACAATGTAGTACTCCTCAATCCTTATGTTAAGAGTGTATGTGAAGGCAGAGGTACTGTACAGAGGAAATATTCTGAGTTTATAAAAGTTGATCATAAACAGGAGGTGAAGGAATATGATTTGTTAGGTGAAGGGAAGTACAGAGGATGTGGGTAAAGCTGAAAGCAAATTAAAATGGGGTTACGCAATTGGAAAGGATGGGAGATATAGTTTTGGAATGGTAGGTGCATTTATATACTGTACCTTAAAAGATGAAATATACATATGGACTAGCTTAAGGCACACATATTTTCTTTATGTAAGAGGAATAGGAACAACAGTTAGTGCAGGAATTACAGAGGAATAAGTCTGTTGAGTATACCAGATACAAGCTATGTAAGAATTTTTACATGAGATAGAAAGTATGATTGCAGAGGAAGAAAAGATTTAGAAAGAAAGGGATGCATAAATAAGTGCTTGCATTAGAGTACTCAGATAAGGAAACTGAGCTTTTTGCTGCAATTATGGATTTCAAAAATGCCTGTTGAAGAATAAATAGACAAGGGATGTGGCTGGTGCTGAAACTGAATGGAAAAGATAGTAGGTTGCAATACCCTTAACCATATATTCACAAATAAAGAGGATCTGGTATGAAACACAATGATACTGAATACAGCAAACTCAAGATTACAACCCAACTGAAGATCAGACCTGCATACACACTAGACTTGAGAAACCCAACACAAAATCATGAGGGTGTATTAAAAAAAATCAACTTAAAAAATACACTAACTGGGATCAAATAAATCATGGCTTTACTGAAATATTTAAACCAGTGCTGGATACTATGAGATCAATGGCACTAGAAATGTGCTCCAGACTCAATACCATTAAGAAAACAAGAAGTTAAGAAGTAAGTTGGAAAGAGATGCTCCGTATACAAGCAAAGATGAATCAATGAACTTCTCAAAGCCTTTACACTTTCTCAAGAGCAAAAAAGAAATGCTGGTAAGTGATGAAAAATTGAGGTAATGCATCATACAGAGACCAGGAGTGACAGATTGAGCAAAAAAGCCATTAATGAAATTGAAAGCAACCCATTACAATGAAATATACAAAAAACTAAGTCACAATATGACTGTGTTCAGTTAGCTATTAATTAAACTAAAGACCGTCATTCCAAATGAATGATTCATGAATGTTACCGAAAACTCTGCCAACATCTAAAAACTTCAGATATAATACTGACATTACTCAACTCCGAAGAAGTCTCTCATAGACCCACTCATGTCCTAGACCCACACTCTTTGAATTCCATGTTAATAAAATTTGCAAAAATAGCTATTATCCACCTTAAATATACCATGGCGATGGAGTCTGGACACAGGAATCCTCCCATAATTATTAAAACCCCAATGGCTTTGCTACTCCACAAAGGTAGTAGCAAAGCCATTGTAAAACAACTAGAGATGAATAGCAAATTATTAAAATTGCTGAAAGTTTTAAGAAGGATGATTTGTAAACAAATGGCATCACAACAAGTGCACAACCCAAGGCAACACGGATTTAGAGCAGTTCACTCCTGCCTCTCACAATTACTGATCTATTAGAACATGGTCTATATCTATGCACTGGAAGGCAAATAAAATGAAGGTGTAGTAAACACAGATTCTGCAAAAGTCTTTGATACGTAAGTGCAATCATTGTGGAATAGCACAAAGTGTTTGTAACAGGAATAACTGAAAAAGTGAGGAAATAGATTTTTAAATTTCTAAAATAATGGATGTTATAGAAAAATTTAATAATTAAAAATTAGAACGGAGTGTAAAACAGCAGCAGCAGGGTTACCGTAAACACAGCAAAATTGACAGCCTGGATACTAGAATCTTCAAAACATGAGCTGCCAAGAAAATCACAATACCCTTGAAGTTGCTTGTTCTCTCTAGTCTAGAATACTGCTGCACACCAAGGGCCCATTTTCAGGTAGGTAAAATTGCAGAACCAGTGAATGTAGAGACGTTGCAAAAATACATATAAGGAAGAGCAAAGGTGCAATAAGTGCATATAGCAAGAATTAACTCTACAAGTGTAAGGGACCAAGACTTTTCAACAACCTCCCTCCATACATAAGGAGAACTACCAATAGACCCCTAGTTGTCTTCAAGAGGGATAAGGATAATTTCCTACAGTCAGTTCCTTATCAGCCAGGCTGTGATGCCTACATTGGACTGTGTGCAGCTTGCACCAACAATTGGGTTGATCAGGTCATCAACCAGGAGGCCTGATTTGGACCAAGCTACAAAAGCAGTGATTTCCAAACTGGTCTTTAAATAACTTTCATGTAAGGGTTTGTAGGAAAGAAGGGAAATATTGTCCAATAAAAGTGAGGTTTAGATATGGAGGTTTGATGTCATCTTGATTATTTAGTGTGTTATAGAATTGTAAAATAAGTAAATGCTAGTGTTGCTGGGAAAGGTGCAGGCATAGAAGGTAATTAATTTGATATAAAATTTACATACAGTATTATAATATACCTTAATCCTGCCAATGTCTCTAAATTTAGTATAAATTCAGTTAGAATTATTACTATACATTCAGTTGTACCAAATACACACTTGGGTTGTTTAGTAAAAAGATTCTTGCCAAATAAAGCCAGCCAGAAGGTTCAACATCAATATTTTATTCTGTAGCTAACTGGAATTCATTTACAGAAGCAACTATTTTTAGTTACTAATCATAATGAAATTACAAATTGCTTCAGCAATGATTTTCTGCAACTTTCGATGTTACTAGTAAACAAAAAGCAAAGACTCACAAGTGGGTAGCGTCTTGGCGAGCATCACGATGTAGTGGGTGTTGTTGATAATGACCAAATACTTCAAACACAATGGGCTGTGTTTTGATGTATTCTAGGAATGCTCGAGTAACTGTGACTGTAATCTAAAAATATACATTTGTGTATGAGACTGAAATTAATATTATATAAGTACTCATTAAACTGAGTAAAATAAATATATATATATATATATATATATATATATATATATATTTTTTTTTTTTTTTTTTTTTTCAACAAGTCGGCCGTCTCCCACCGAGGCAGGGTGACCCAAAAAAGAAAGAAAATCCCCAAAAAGAAAATACTTTCATCATCATTCAACACTTTCACCACACTCGCACATTATCACTGTTTTTGCAGAGGTGCTCAGAATACAACAGTCTAGAAGCTTAAACATATAAAGATACACAACATATCCCTCCAAACTGCCAATATCCCAAACCCCTCCTTTAAAGTGCAGGCATTGTACTTCCCATTTCCAGGACTCAAGTCCGACTATATGAAAATAACCGGTTTCCCTGAATCCCTTCACTAAATATTACCCTGCTCACACTCCAACAGATCGTCAGGTCCCAAGTACCATTCGTCTCCATTCACTCCTATCTAACACGCTCACGCACGCTTGCTGGAAGTCCAAGCCCCTTACCCACAAAACCTCCTTTACCCCCTCTCTCCAACCCTTTCGAGGACGACCCCTACCCCGCCTTCCTTCCCCTATAGATTTATATGCTTTCCATGTCATTCTACTGTGATCCATTCTCTCTAAATGACCAAACCACCTCAACAACCCCTCTTCTGCCCTCTGACTAATACTTTTATTAACTCCACACCTTCTCCTAATTTCCACACTCCGAATTTTCTGCATAATATTTACACCACACATTGCCCTTAAACAGGACATCTCCGCTGCCTCCAACCGTCTCCTCGCTGCTGCATTTACCACCCAAGCTTCACACCCATATAAGAGTGTTGGTACTACTATACTTTCATACATTCCCTTCTTTGCCTCCATAGATAACGTTTTTTGACTCCACATATACCTCAACGCACCACTCACCTTTTTTCCCTCATCAATTCTATGATTAACCTCATCCTTCATAAATCCATCCGCCGACACGTCAACTCCCAAGTATCTGAAAACATTCACTTCTTCCATACTCCTCCTCCCCAATTTGATATCCAATTTTTCTTTATCTAAATCATTTGACACCCTCATCACCTTACTCTTTTCTATGTTCACTTTCAACTTTCTACTTTACACACATTCCCAAACTCATCCACTAACCTTTGCAATTTTTCTTTAGAATCTCCATTAAGCACAGTATCATCAGCAAAAAGTAACTGTGTCAATTCCCATTTTGAATTTGATTCCCCATAATTTAATCCACCCCTCTCCCAAACACCCTAGCATTTACTTCCTTTACAACCCCATCTATAAATATATTAAACAACCATGGTGACATTAACCATCCCTGTCTAAGACCTACTTTTACCGGGAAGTAGTCTCCCTCTCTTCTACACACCCTAACCTGAGCCTCACTATCCTCATAAAAACTCTTTACAGCATTTAATAACTTACCACCTATTCCATATACTTGCAACATCTGCCACATTGCTCCTCTATCCACTCTATCATATGCCTTTTCTAAATCCATAAATGCAAATAAAAACTTCCCTATCTTTATCTAAATACTGTTCACCATATATGCTTCAATGTAAACACCTGATCTACACATCCCCTACCCACTCTAAAACCTCCTTGCTCATCCGCAATCCTACATTCTGTCTTACCTCTAATTCTTTCAATTATAACCCTACCGTACACTTTTCCTGGTATACTCAGTAAGCTTATTCCTCTATAATTTTTACAGTCTCTTTTGTCCCCTTTCCTTTATATAAAGGGACTATACATGCTCTCTGCCAATCCCTAGGTACCTTCCCCTCTTTCATACATTTATTAAACAAAAGTACCAACCACTCCAACACTATATCCCCCCCTGCTTTTTAACATTTCTGTCATGATCCCATCAGTTCCAGCTGCTTTACCCCCTTTCATTTTACGTAATGCCTCACGTACATCCCCCACACTTACATTCTGCTCTTCTTCACTCCTAAAAGATGGTATACCTCCCTGACCAGTGCATGAAATTACTGCCTCTGTTTCTTCCTTAACATTTAAAGTTCCTCAAAATATTCTCGCCATCTACCTAATACCTCCATCTCCCCATCTACTAACTCCCCTACTCTGTTTTAACTGACAAATCCATATTTTCCCTAGGCTTTCTTAACTTGTTTAACTCACTCCAAAATTTTTTCTTATTTTCATTAAAATTTCTTGACAGTGCCTCTCCCACTCTATCAATCTGCTCTCTTTTGCACTCTCTCACCACTCTCTTTACCTTTCTTTTACTCTCCATATACTCTGCTCTTCTTATAACACTTCTGCTTTGTAAAAACCTCTCATAAGCTACCTTTTTCTCTTTTATCACACCCTTTACTTCATCATTCCACCAATCACTCCTCTTTCCCCCTGCCCCCACCCTCCTATAACCACAAACTTCTGCCCCACATTCTAATACTGCATTTTTAAAACTATTCCAACCCTCTTCAACCCCCCCACTACTCATCTTTGCACTAGCCCACCTTTCTGCCAATAGTCGCTTATATCTCACCCGAACTTCCTCCTCCCTTAGTTTATATATATATATATATATATATATATATATATATATATATATATATATATAATAATATATTTAGCACACACACACACACACACACACACACACACACACAGTAGTATCTTGCTACTCGAACAGCTCTTAACTCAAAGAATTCAGTATTAGAACACTTTGTTCGGTAAGAAAATCGCTTGGTAGTCGACCATTTGCTCAGCATTTGACCAAACAAACACGACCTGCCAGAACTTCACTGTAAACTATTTCGTGTTTCTTCACATTTTTTGGTGTTTTTTTATATTACATGTATTTGTATAAATAAGTCACCATGGGGACTAAGAAGATTAGTGATAATAGCCAATCAAAGAGAAAACTGGTTAGAGTCACAATAGTACCAATCTGTTCAGTACTCGAACAGATTGGCACTTAAACATCCTTCTGGAATGAATTAAGTTCGAGTACCGAGGTACTACTGTATATGTAGTACATTTTTTAACACATCAGCCGTCTCCCACCAAGGCAGAGTGACCCAGAAAAGAAGAAACGAAAGTTTTTCTTCTCTTTACACTTAGCACAGTAATTTATACAAGGGAAGGCATGCCAATACTCCAGTTCTGATGCCCCGCCCAATTGCAAATATCCCCACCCCTCCTTCAAGAGTGCAGGCACTGATATGCTCAACAGGCTTATTTCCCTATAAATTTTACACTATCTTTTGTTCCCCATGCCTTTATACACAGGAACTATGCATGCTCTCTGCTAATCCCTAGGCACCTTCCACTCTTTCATACAGTTATTGAATAAAAGTACCAACTGCTCCACAACTATATCCCCACCTGCTTTTAAAATCTCTCTCTTGATACCATCAATCCCAGCTGCTTTACCCCATTTCAAGTTACCCACTGCCTCATCCACCTTTTCCATACACATTTGGCTTCCTCATTCCTAAAGGATGTTATACTTCCCTGGGCAATGCATGAAATCATATACTCTACCCTCCTTATATCACTTCTGCTTTGTAAAAACCTCTTATATGTTAACTTTCTTCCTTATCACTCCCTTTACCTCATCATTCGACTATTCGCTCCTCTTCCCTCCGGCACTCACCTTCTCACATCCACAAACTTCTGCTACACACAATAACACTGCATACTTTAATCTACCCTATACCTTCTAATTACCTACACTCTCACTAGCCTATATTTCTCCCAATAGTTGCTTATATCTTACCCCTAATACCTCCTCCTTTAATTTATAAACTTTCAGATATTTGGGAGTGGACTTGTTAACGGGTGGGGTCTATGAAAGATGAGGTGAACCATAGAATTGAAGACTGAAAAGAGGAAGGCATTGAGGCATTTTTGGAGACAAAGAATGTTATCCACTGATGTGAGTATAGTGATACCAATATTCTTATATAGGTATGAAACATGGGTTGTGAATGTTGCAGCAAGAACGAGGCTGGAGGCAGTGATGTAGTGTCTGAGGACAATGTATGGTGTAAATATTACGAAGAGAATTTGTAGTATGGAAATTAGGTGTGGAGTTACTAAAAGTATATTCAGAAGACTGAGGAGGAGCTGTAAAAGTGGTTTGGTCATTTAGAGAGGATGGAGCAAAATAGGATGATACCTGGGCACCTCGGGAAAGACAGTGATTATGTGTGAATGATGGTGAAAGTGTTTCTTTCTTTTTTGGGCCACCCTGCCTCGGTGGGAGACAGCCAGAGTGCTGAAAAAAAATTATGTTAACACAATACAGTGGAACCTCAAATTTCGAACGTATCACTTACCGAACGTTTCAAAAATAGAACCCTTTTTTCGAGCCAACTTTGTTCCTATTATCGAATGCACCCCTATTTTCGGAGTGCCGGGTACCGGACCTGTCCGCCAGCCCGCTCTGTCTGCATCCCCGCGCAGGCGCAGTGAGCCAGTCTGGCTTTGTTTATGCTTGAGTGAACACTAACCTGCGCTCTCATTCAAACATTCTACGATTATTTCATCGTGTTTAGTGCTTGTGGGACTTTGAAATAAGTTATCATGGGCCCAAAGAAACTTGCTAGTGGTACCCCTGTGGTAAAGAGAGTGAGAAACACCATAGATGTGAAGAAGGAAATAATACAGAAGTATGAGAGTGATGTGAGACTTGTGAGCTTGCCAGAATGTATGGGAAAAACAAGTCGACCATCGGTTCTATCCTGGCAAAGAAAGAACAAATCAAGGAAGCTGATGTTGCGAAAGGTGTTAATATGCTAACCAAAAAAAGACCACAAATAGTTGAAGAGGTTGAGAAATTGTTGCTGGTGTGGATCAAGGATAAAGAGATGGCAGGTGATGGGGTTTCAGAGACGATTATTTGCAAAAAGGCAAGGAAGTTGCATGCCGATCTGGTATAGAAAACTCCTGGAACCAGTTCAGTGACAGAACCATGTCCCATTTTAGGGAAATGTTAAAGAGGCGCCAGAAACAGAGGACTGTGGACAGTTATTTTGTGAGACAGGGTCCAGTGACTCTCATCTGGTCCTAGTGGCATTAAAATACAGAGAAGGGAAGTAACTCCAGAGAGGGCTTTACCTGAAGTCCTCATGGAGGGGAATTCTCCTTCCAAACACTAACCCCAACTCCCTCTCTCCTCTTCCCTATCTTCCAGATGCCATCACCAATCTTCAATAAAGGTAAGTAAAAATGTTATTTTATATTTATTTACATAATTGAACACTATAGTATTTGTTGTGTGTATGTAAAACTGTAATTAATCTCTATAAAATGTATTTTTTTTTGTGAATATTTTTTGGGTTTCTGAAACGGATTAATTGTATTTCCATTACTTCTTATGGGAAATATTGCTTCGATTTTCAGACTTTTCGAATTTAGAACTAGCTCCTGGAATGGATTAAGTTCGATATTTGAGGTTCCACTGTATATGCAAGCTAATTAGAAATTGCACTAAACTTATTTACTTTCATGAGTTCAAGATCACATTAAATTAAAAATCACAAACAGTTTAGTATGGCAATAATACTCCCATCACCAGTAGGTACTTACATTTTGTACATGATAGAAACCAAGTGGTGGTCCTTTTCCAGTATTTTTTATTGGTTCAGTTGAGAAGGCTTCATCATGTCGATGGAGGAAGCTAATACAAAATACACTCACATTAGCATTTAGCTCTGAAAATAAATACCTGTACTTACAGCCGACTATATAAGCTATAGATATGTCAGCACAAACAAATTTTCATTGCTCCAGTCTATATTATATAATTCATGATAATAAAATTATATATAACTCACTTAAACTGACAGAATATGTCAGCATATTCTGTAGACACATCGAAGGCTTGAAGAACAGTGACTCGGAAAGTAAATTCTTGTCCAATACGAAGGTGAGATGGAAGGTCATCATCTTTTCCGCTTTCACAGGAACTAATACTACTGTCGCCTCTACCACTATCTACTTCACAAACCTCGTCTGCAAAATTATCACACGATTATTATTAAAAGAGCAGTCAAAATTATTGTATGACAATAGCTGCAACATTACTGTCAAGAGATGCAAAATTATCACATTATACAGTGGACCCCCGGTATTCGATGGCATCGGTATTCGATAAATCCGGTATTCGATGCATTATATCGCAAAAAATTTTCCTCAGTATTCGATTGAAAACCCGGTATTCGATACGATTCGTACGAGACCTGTCCACATGTGGCCTGAACTGCCCCTTGTGTGCCAGTGTTTACAAGCCAGCCAGTGTGCGCGCATCTAAGGATACATTCGGTACATTCCATATTATCCATATTATCACTGTGTTTGGTGCTTGTTTCTGCAAAATAAGTCACCATGGGCCCCAAGAAAGCTTCTAGTGCCAACCCTGTGGTAAAAAGGGTGAGAATTAGTATGGAAATTAAGAAAGATTGTGAAGGGTTTGGGGCTAACCCTGAGAAGCCTATACCAGTTGTGGAATACATTGTGCCTACTTCAAAAATTAAGGAAATGTGTGCACAGTGGGTTGAGGTGCAAACCTTTATGGATGAAAATCACCCTAACACAGCTATTACAATGACAATGTTGTGGCCCATTTTAGACAAATCGTAAAGGAACGGGAGGTACAGAGCTCTATGGACAGATTTGTTGTGCGACAGAGGTCCAGTGACTCTCAAGCTGGTCCTAGTGGCATTAAAAGAAGAAGGGAAGTAACCCCGGAAAAGGACTTGCTACCTCAAGTCCTAATGGAAGGGGATTCCCCTTCTAAACACTAACACCTCTCCCCTCCTCCCATCCCATCAATCATCACCAGATCTTCATTAAAGGTAAGTGTCAATTATTTTATTGTTATTGTAATTATTCTATTGCATTAAACTTAATATTTCATGTAGTAAATTTTTTTTTTCATACTTTTGGGTGTCTTGCACGGATTAATTTGATTTCCATTATTTCTTATGAGGAAAATTGATTCGGTTTTCGATATTATCGGTATTCAATGAGCTCTCAGGAACGGATTAATATCGAATACCAGGGGTCTACTGTATTCAAGAGAGCTGCAAAATTGCCATAACATTATCACTAAGCACTGGAAGATTAAAACAATACAAATATACTGTATTAAAAGGCTTCACAACTATGGCATATCAATTAACAATCACTGCAGTGTGTTTATTTTGGAGTGTCAAATAAACTCTAATGAAGAATTTTAACAATTAACAAGCTCCCTAAAGTAAAGTATGGCAAGTAAAGCAAAAATAGCCCCACAAAAATAATTATAGGACTTTAATATAATATGGGGACAGAGTGAAACACAGGCATGTTATAAAAATGACTGACATGATAAAAAAAAAAAACTGATATTCCCCACTTCACAAAGGTGGCAGTAAAGCACTCATAGAAAAAACTACAGATCCATAGCAATGACATCTCACAATATAAAAATCTCTGATAAAGTACAGTACTAAGAAGTAAAGTTGCAAAACACATGGAACCAAAATATTTAAACAATCTATGGCAACAAAGGTTTAGAGCAGGATGCTCCTACCTCTTACAACTGCTAGACCACTGCTACATGACTCTGGAAGCACTGGAAGACAAACAAAATGCAGACAGTAAACTTAGACTTCATAAAAGCCTTCAACAAGTGTGATCAGTTTGTAACAGCCCACACAAAAAAAAAAGTGTCTGCAGAAGGAATAACTGAAATAGTGGCCAGATGGTTCTGTTATTTTTTTTTTTAACAAACTGGACCCAAAGAGTAATAGTGTATAGTCAACAGAGTAAAATCTAAGTCCTACACAGTGAAAGTCTTGTACCTCAAGGCACAGTATCCACTCCAATATTGTCTCATTATATCTGACAAAAGCATCAATCACAGCACTGTATTATTCTTCGCAGATAATACTAGAATTTGTATGAGAGCAGCATCCAATGAAGACACAATGAACCTCATAACCAATATAAAAAAAGTATTTCAGTGAATCACACAGGAAACCATATATATTTTTCACTGAAGAATAATTTCAGATTCTATATTGTACTATAAAATGAAGACATAAAACTGAAAGAGATATGTAAGGGAGATTGTGATAACAATGCTGAAAGATCTTGCATTCAGAGAAAGCAATAATATTACTATCACAACTACAAGATAAATGATAAGATGGATAACAATAACTTATAAAAAAAAAAACTTGTCATGTTAGAGATGATACCTTTTGTCACCCGTACTCTCCAGACTAAAATACTAAACCCTCTATTTAATGGACTAACAAGGGAGAATGGATGGCCAGTAATGATGGCTGTGGTGGATAGTAATGAGATTGTTTTGGTTTTATTGTAACAATAAACTTCAAAGTTTCTGAATTAAGTGACCCAACGAATGTTGCTCCGTATTTCCTGAAATGAGTCCGTTAAATCGAGGGTTCACTACTTTTGAACCCTAACAGTCCCATTTAAGCCTGAGAGAATTAAAGATATGAAGATTGTAGAGAAATTTCACTACATGAATCTGTCCAAACACTTTAAATATTGGGAAAGAATAAATTTCTTCAAGGTGTAGAATGTTAGAGAGATGAAAAGTGGTATCTCACCTATTCATAACAATTGTTAATATATGTCAAAACCATAGAACTTATTTATAGAAATAATTCTTTTATCTGCCAATCACAAAGAAAGTCCTAAAAGAAATTTTCTAAATTAACTTTCCTCACTGAATGATAACAAATGCAGGTTCAAGGTGTACAAGAGTAGCCTGCCCACCTAATTTACCATATTGTTGACATAAATATGGTATGACATACCAAAAGCATCATCAGAAGTCTCAGTTTAACACTGGGAAGAGAAATTTGATTAGAGAAAGTTGCAAGAGTATGATACTGGAAGAGAAGAGGGAATCAGTTTGAGGGAGAAGAGAAAAAGAGCTTGGTGGGAGGATGGGGGAGGAAAAAAGAAAGCTTGACTGGCAGGGAGGTCAGTTGGTTGAGAAGAAAACAAATAAAAAAGCAAAAAATTTAATTGGGAAGAGGTAGAGAGGTTAACAGGTAAAATTATTTAGCGGAGGGAAAAAATAATTTGGCTACGAAAAAGTTTTGGGGATGGATGCTTTGAGGGGTGGAGCGTTTGGTAGAGGAAATACTTAGTGGGGGAAAGTGTGTTTAGGGGTATGTTAGGTGGGGGAGGGGGAATGCTCAGTGAGGGGTGTGTTTAGTGGTGAAGGGGATGGAGCTTGAAGGATGGAGGATGGAACTTATTTTCTAGCTCACCTGTGTACTGCACTAAACAAACAAGTCAGAGGTGACATGGTAAAACAACTTAAAATGAAAATTATACATTATGACATCAGCTTAAAGCTTGGCAAACAATTTAAATAATTCTTAAATAAGAGATATTACAGGATCATGATTTACAAATGGGAGACTCGAGGGACCGGTTCCTAATCTGCAGATCAAAATACTGTAACCCTTTATAGGGGTGAGATACCTGGTTGAGTGTAAAACAGCCTCAATGAAAAGCTGGGGAGCAGCAAGTACATTTTGGGATAACTCACTATTTATAAAGGTTTTTCAATGCCCTCCTTAAATAACTATAGGAAATAACTAGGCAAGTTCCTGCTAACTTTTTCTGATCAGCCAACTTGTGATGCTTATAATGGAGTCTAAACTAGAGCACCAGTAACCAGACTGACTAAGCTGTCAACCCATAAGTCTAGTCAAAGATTGGGTTACATGGGCGATAATCCTAGAACCATTATCAAGAAGACACTAAGTAGGTGGTAGGCCATACTTACCTTCTAGTTTAATAATATCTCCAGAGCCAACCTGACCCTCGACTATTCGCTCCTCCTCGGCAGCAGCAGCTGTATTTTTCTCTAATACCTGAGCAGAGAGTGACCCTCGTTTTGCCCGCGGTCTTTTAAATGTCCCCTCATTGAAAGATATTCTTGCTGATTGTCGAACTCCAGCAGGCTGTGTGCTCTCAACTGCGTCTTCTTCTGCTGTTGACACAAAAAAATGACAAGGACCTGAACACATCTTTATAAATGGTTAAAGATAGGTAGTAGGTTGGTAGACAGCAGCCGCCCAGGGAGGTACTACCGTCCTGCCAAGTGAGTGTGAAACGAAAGCCTGTAATTGTTTTACATGATGGTAGGACTGCTGGTGTCTTTTGTCTGTCTCATAAATATGCAAGATTACAGGTACGTCTTGCTACTTCTTCTTACACTTAGGTCACACTACACATACATGTACAAGCATATATACACACACCCCTCTGGGTTTTCTTCTATTTTCTTTCTAGTTCTTGTTCCTGTTTATTTCCTCTTACCTCCATGGGAAAGTGGAACAGAATTCCTCCTCCGTAAGCTATGCATGTTGTAAGAGGCGACTAAAATTCTGGGAGCAAGGGGCTAGTAACCCCTTTTCCTGTATAAATTACTAAATTTAAAAAGAGAAACTTTTGTTTTTCTTTTTAGGCCACCCTGCCTCGGTGGGATACGGCCGGTTTGTTGAAAGAAGAAGAAGAAAAAGGTTAAAGGTAACATTTTAATTTACTCAGCATTAATTCTCCAAAACTGAAATATGAATCTTAAACAATAAGCTGTGCACTAAGGATTAGACACATATACTCACCTTGATAACACAACACCCTCCAGCTCCAATGTGCTAACACTGCTACATTCAAAGGAGGGACCATAAACTCTTAACTTTATGGGGTCAGCCTTTAATTGGACTTTTAAATAAATGTATGAATAAATAAATAAATAAAATAAGTAAATTTTTTGTGGAGGGATGGAATATTGAGAAAGTGGATGTATACAGATATTTGGAGGGTGACATGTCAGCAGATGGGTCTATGAAAGATGAACTTAATCATAAAACAGATGAGGGGAAAAAAGGAGGGTGGTATGTTTAGGGAACTGTGGAAAGAAAAAAGTTCATCTATGAAGGTTAGAAAAGGAATGTACTAGAGGATGGTGGTACCAACACATCTATATGGGTGACAGGCATGGGTTTTGAAAGCTGCTGCAAGGAGGATGCTAGAGGCAGGGACAATGTTATGTCTGGTAGCAATGTGTGGGGTTAATATCAGGCAGAGAATTCGAAATATAGAAATTAAAAGGCAATGTGGGGTGGCCAAGGGCATAATTCAGAGGGCTGAGGAGAGGCTGTTGAAGTGGTCTGGGCATGTAGAGGAGAGAGAGAGAAATAGGATGACTGGAAAGGTATATAAATCTGAGATGGAAGTAGAAGGGATAGGGTCATCCCAGGAATGGTTGGAAGGAGAGGGTAAAGGAGAGTTGTAGGTGTCTGAGCATCCAGCAGGCTTGTGAGAGCATGTTAGATAGGAGGGAATGGAGACAACTAGATTTTAAAGGACATGCTGTTGGAATATGAGGAAGATACTATTTATGAAAGAACCCAGGGAAATCAGTTAGCATGACTTGAGTCCTGAAGGTGGGAAAGGCAGTGCCAATACTCTAAAAAAAAAAAGGAGTGGGGATGCTGCAGTCAGAGGGCAATCTGAATTGTGATGATAATAATTAAATGCACAATGTTCTTTCTTTTGGTAGTCACCTTAGCTGGGATTAAATGTCAAATAGAATTAAATGGTGTCAAGATTTGGAGATCATACCGTGAGATAATCAATTTTTTTTTTTTACATTCAAAACAAAGGCTGAGCAAAAGTCTATCCAAACAGCACCCCAATATGTTAACCAATCACAATCGGCCCATCTGCTAGCTACCCAGACACAACCCTTACCCTCACCTCTCCCAGCTGTGAGGCCTAGTTTCCTCTCACTTCAAGCTTGGTTCACATACCACAAAATGGTGTTTGCTAATGGAATTAAATGTGGAAGAGGGAAAGCTACTCCCTAGCTAATTCAACAGGGGAATGGGAATGCAGCACTTTATATCTAGGTATGCCTGTTGAAATAAATGGAGATTAATATACAAAAAGTGTTACATAAAAAAACTCTCTCTTTGTTTGACTTTTTTGGGTTAACCAAGGTAATTTACACGTTACTATGCATGACAACTGTACTTGTGTACCCGTGCCTCAATAAACTTACTCATCAATCAGCATACAGACACAAAAAATTAGGGAATTACATACCAACAACAGCTTGTACAGCAACTTTTAGGTAGCCCTTGACATCACCACGCTCGCTGACAATTGCAACACGGTGTACCAGTGGAACAGGGTATAGGAGATTACTTAGGTAGAGAAACCCTCTGAAAGTTAATAACAATAATTAGTAGTTATCATTTGTAAATGATTATTACAGTAGTTTGTTGGACTACATATTGGTAGATAAAAGACTGTTGGGTATACTTCAAGATGTACATGTTTATACAGGGGCCACAGATATATCAGATCACTCTTTAGTTGTAGCTATAGTGAGAATAAAAGGCAGATGGGATACAAGGAAAATGGAAGCAGCAGGTAAGAGAGAGGTGAAGGTTTATAAGCTAAAGGAGGAGGCAGTTAGGGTAAGATATAAACAACTATTGGAGGATAGATGGGATAGTGAGAGTATAAGCAATGGGGTTGAAGACATATGGGGTAGGTTTAAGAATGCAGTGTTAGAGTGTTCAGCAGATGTTTGTGGTTACAGGAAAGTGGGTGTGGGAGGAAATAAGAGCGACTGGTGGAACAATGATGTAGAGAGTAGTAAGAGAGAAAAAGTTAGCATACGAGAGGTTTTTACAAAGTAGAAGTGATGCATAGAGGGAGGAGTATATGGAGAGGAATAGAGGGGCAAAGAAAGTGGTGAAGCAATGTAAAAAGAGAGCAAATGAGAGAGTGGGTGAGATGTTATCAACAAATTTTGTTGAAAATAAGAAAAAGTTTTGGAGTAAGATTAATAAGTTAAGGAGGCCTAGGGAACAAATAGATTTGATTGGTTAAAACAGAAGAGGAGAGTTATTAAATGGATAGTTAAAGATATCAGGAAGATGGAGGGAATATTCTGAGAAACTGTTAAATGTTGAAGAAGATAGGGAAGCTGTGATTTCATGTATAGGGCAAGGAAGAATAACATCTTGTAGGAGTGAGGAGGAGCGAGTTGTGAGTGTGGAGGAAGTTTGTGAGGCAGTGGGAAGAATGAAAGGGGGTAAGGCAGCTGGGAGTGATGAGATAAAGACAGAACTGTTAAAAGCAGATGAGGATATAGTTCTGGAGTGGTTGGTGCTTTTATTTAATAAATGTATGGAAGAGGGCAAGGTACCTAGGGACTGGCAGAGAGCATGCACAGTTTCTTTGTATAGGCAAAGGGGACAAAAGAGAGTGCAAAAATTAAAGGGAAAGAAGTCTGTTGAGTATACCTGGTAAGTGTATGGTAGAGTTATTATTGAAAGAATTAAGAGTAAGACTGAGAGCAGGATAGCAGATGAACAAGGAGGCTTTAGGAAGGGTAGGGGGTGTGTAGACCAAATTTGTTTTCATTGAAACATATAGGTGAACAGTAGTTAAATAAGAGTAAAGAGGTTTTTGTGGCATTTATGGATTTGGAAAAGGCATATGACTGGGTGGATAGGGGGGTAATGTGGCAGATGCTGCAAATGTATGGAATAGGAGGTAGGTTATTGAAAGCGGTGAAAAATTTTTATGAGGATAGTGAGGCTCAGGTTAGAGTATGTAGGAGAGAGGGAAATTATTTCCCAGTAAAAGTAGGCCTTAGACAAGGATGTGTGATGTCACCATGGTTGTTCAGTATATTTATAGATGGGGTTATAAGAGAAGTGAATGCTCAGGTGTTGGCAAGAGGTTTGGGGTTAAAAGATAAAGAATCTAACACAAAGTGGGAGTTGTCACAGTTGCTCTTTGCTGATGACACTGTGCTCTTGGGAGATTCTGAAGAGAAGTTGCAGAGGTTGGTGGATGAATTTGGTAGTGTATATAAAAGAAGAAAACTGAAAGTGACTGTAGGAGAGAGTAAGGTGATGAGGATAACAAAAAAAATTGGTAATGAAAGACTGGATATCAGGTAGGAGGGATAGAGTATGGAGGTGGTGAATGTATTCAGATATTTAGGAGGGGACGTGTCAGCAGATGGGTCTATGAAAGATGAGGCGATTCATAGAACTGACGAAGGGAAAAAGGCGAGTGGTGCACTGAGGAGTCTGTGGAGACAAAGAACTTTGTCCATGGAAGCAAAGAGGGGAATGTATGAGAGTATAGTTATACCAACACTCTTATATGGGTGTGAAGCATGGGTGATGAATGTTGCAACAAGGAGAAGACTGGAGGCAGTGGAGATGTGTCTGAGGGCAATGCGTGGTGTGAATATAATGCAGAGAATTCGTACTTTGGAAATTAGGAGGAGGTTCAGGATTACCAAAGCTCTTATCCAGAGGGCTGAGGTTGTTGAGGTGGTTCGGACATGTAGAGAGGAAGGAACAAAATAGAATGACTTCGAGAGTGTATAAATCTGTAGTGAAGGTCGGCCTAGGAAAGGTTGGAGGGAGGGGGTAAAGGAGGTTTCGTGTGCGAGGGGCTTGGACTTCCAGCAAGCATGCGTGAGTGTGTTAGAATGGAGACAAGTGGTTTATTAAGGACTTATGTGCTGTTGGATTGTGAGCAGGGAAATGTGCTCTAATGAACAGTGTCTAATTTCTATTATATAGAAAGTGCTACAATTTAGAGACCACTATACATAAATGATTCCAAATAAGTAATTACAGTACTGTATTCACCATTTATTGAAAAAGCCCAAGTCTGGCAAACTTTTTTCCAGAGGCTATGCCCTAATTCTGGATAATTTCTGGACAAATTCTTTTGCATGCCCATTGGAATTTTGAGCAGCAAAATTATTTTTAGTATTTTTAATTTAACATGCATAATATATACAGTATGTACATAATAAATAATACAAACATATAATTATTATTGAAAGAGTTAGGGGTAAAAGCATAAATACAACAGACCTAATGATAAAGAATAATTTCTCAATTCTCATATTTATTTATTTTTTATTTGGACATGATACATAGTTGTACAAAGAAATATATTGATTTGGTGTACATGCCAAAAGCCCCTTGTATGCAGAACATTATGGGCAGGCTTAAAATTAACTTAAGATTAACTAAGCAATGATATATTCAGTGGTAAAAATTACAGTAAACAAATTAAAACATGAAGTACAAATGAGTATTTCAAATAAGAAGCATTAAAGTTGTACAAATTTGTAGCATAACAATGTATAATATAAACGAATCAGATCAAGTAAAATCAATGATTTGCAGTGCAGAAACAGGTCATATGGTCATTATAAAATCCTGTAATATTATTATTTTACTTCATCTGCTTACTGCACTGTAATTGTATATTAAAGCCATTATAGTACTTGTATCAATAACTGGACATTAAATGTTCATGTAAAACCTTGCATTAGAACTACACAACCCTATGTATCTGTGTATGTATCTGAGTATGGAAGAAGTGAATGTTTTCAGATATTTGGGAGTCGACTTGTCAGCGGATGGATTTATGAAGGATGAGGTTAATCATAGAAGTGATGAAGGAAAAAAGGCGAGTGGTGTGTTGAGGTATATGTGGAGACAAAAAACATTATCTATGGAAGCAAAGAAGGGAATGTATGAAAGTATAGCAGTACCAACACTCTTATATGGGTGTGAAGCTTGGGTTGTGAATGCAGCAGCGAGGAGGTGGTTGGAGGCAGTGGAGATGTCCTGTCTAAGGGCAATGTGTGGTGTAAATATTATGCAGAAAATTCGGAATATGGAAATTAGGAGAAGGTGTGGAGTTAATAAAAGTATTAGTCAGAGATCTGAAGAGGGGTTGTTGAAGCAGTTTGGTCATTTAGAGAGAATGAATCACAGTAGAATGACATGGAGAGTGTATAAATCTGTAGGGGAAGGAAGGCGGGGTAGGGGGTCATCCTCAAAAAGGTGGGAGGGAGGGGGTAAAGGAGGTTTTGTGGACGAAGGGCTTGGACTTCCAGAAAGCGTGCGTGAGCGTGTTAGATAGGAGTGAATGGAGACGAATGGTATTTGGGACCTGACGAGCTGTTGGAGTGTGAGCAGGGTAATATTTAGAGAAGGGATTCAGGGAAACTGGTTATTTTTATATAGCCAGATTTGAGTGCTGGAAATGGGAAGTACAATGCCTGCACTTTAAAGGAAGGGTTTGGGATATTGGCAGTTTGGAGGGATATGTTGTGTATCTTCATACGTACATGCTTCTAAACTGTTGTGTTCTAAGCACCTCTGCAAAAACAGTGATTATGTGTGAGTGAGATGAAAGTGTTGAATGATGATGAAAGTATTTTCTTTTTGGGGATTTTCTTTCTTTTTGGGTCACCCTGCCTCGGTGGGAGACGGCCGACTTGTTAAAAAAAAAATATATATATATATGTATATATATTTTTAAAATTCAGTTAAAGAAGACCACATTATTATTTTTCCAAGAAACTCATGAATAGTCATACCTGCCGACAAGCCGGAACCACGGGAAACGGTCATAGAATGGGTCTCCCCCAGTGAGGCTTTCAATGTTGTAGTCTGGGGAAGTGGGAGACAGCTCAGCTTCATTGTGGTACATCTCTCTCATCAACTCCAACCGCTGTCTGTTTCACATAAAACGTAACCCATAAATATACGGCCGGAGAACTGGTATGGTGGTACAGACGGTATGCAGTTCAAAGGCACAAATGCACAGCTGAAGACATTTAAATGTTTTCAACTGTGTATATGTCTTTATCTGCTAGCTATACATGTACATGTCCAAAACATACTACATTAATATAGCAATAAAAGCAGTAATTCAAAGCAAGATTTGCAATTACAGTATAAATGTTACTGATCTATATAGCATTTGTAAAGCTCTCTAATGACTTATATACTGAGTTTTCTTTCAGTATCACTGTATTATAGCAAACTGTAATAAGAAAGGGGGAAGGTAAGCTTTAGTTATCTGATTATTGCAGCACCATTAATCTGTTCAGTGGTTATGTTGAATATAAGCTTACATGAATATATGTACATCTTTTAAGGAAGGTGCCTGCCTTGATGCTAGCCAAGGACTCCTAATTTAAGAAATTGGAGTTACCCTCCCCTTCCTCAAATTAAACCTGATTACCTCCTATTTCTTTGGTGCTGTATGACCCCTATTTCTTTAGCGCTTCCCCATATCATAATAATAATAATAATAATAATAATAATAATAATAATTATAACACATGCCTTCATGCTTGAATGTTGCAAGAGGATTTCGAACTCAGTTATGACTGTTAATCTAATCTGTCATGTTACTGCAAATTCAATTATTACTCATAACATAGAATAACAAAACATCACAACCAACAAAGAAATGTACACTTGCTCAGTAGTAGAGTGCAATATTTAAGTTTGCTAAGAAATTTTTGAGTAAACACAAATTTATGGATAAACGTACACAGATTTTGGAGAAATTACGCATTTTGATTATGCAGTACAGAACAAGGATAATATTTTATGAAAAGTTATAGAGAATTTATTATTAACACTATGCTACTCTCTTTCTTTTTGGCAAAATTTCTGCACAGCACTTCATGAAATAAGGAAGAGAAATAACAATATAAATATGAAACTCAGTAATGGTATTCACAACACAGTACTGTACTCTGCTATCTTCAAAACTTCCACTCGGTGTAATTTTTACAATCTTGTAAAAGTAGAGATAAAAAGTGAAAAAGATTTAATTAGAAGTGATGCAATCTTTTGTCTGTTGTTTTAATGGAAATTGGTGCCATGTTGCATTTTTTCTTTACTTAATTAACATCATCAGATATATTTGCTCTAAAAATATAGAGCTATATCAGAATCATAATAATAAACTTGCAAAATTAAATTTGCAAAAATGTAATAAACTTAAGAGGATTATAAGCAGCATTCAGCTTGTAATAAAATAAAACAAAAAAATAAATACCTGAATAAAGCACCGTGACTGTACTCTTTCAATCAGTGTGGAGAGTCCAGCTCGAGCAACCTTAAGACACTGTAACTACAGTATTTAACAGCATATCATGAAAGAAAAAAAAGTAACTGTACAGAGTTAAGAGTGGTGCAAGTCATGTGATCCACCCCATTCTAATTCTTGGTTTAGAGAGCATGCATGAACATCCACAACCATGCTTCTGAAAGTCTCAGGACCTGGGTCTTAGAATCAACACTAACATGCGGGAGTTCTGGAGCCTGGAAGGCAGCAGCTGGGACAGGGAGAGTCTGGCCTGGTTACACGCTGGTATGCAGGTTTGCACTTCCTCATCTGTCTGAGGCTCCGTTGGTGGGGAAGGCAACGGAGAATATGGGCTCACGTCAGAGTTGTAGATTTGACGCATCAACTCCAAACGATGTCTACAATGCATGGCAACAAAGCACAGTTTAGTTTTGGACTGTAAGGATGTCTAATAGGAGCTTTATGAAGCTCCACTTATTTATATTTATGACATCCTGACAAACCGTTTTCAGTCCTTATTCTATTCAGCACTCTGCCAGAATTGTAGACAAAGTTTGGGACTGAGATATTTGACACTTGAGGAAATTTTTAACTTACTTACCGTTAGCTGTGCATGCTCTCTGTTCTATCACAACTACAGCTATCAAATGTCAATATTACTTACCAATCTGGTAAAGATATTAATAAAAAATACACTCCAACAAGCAAATTGATGAACAAACTTTGTCTACAATGTTTGGGGATCTCAGTTTCTTTTCTCATCATTTAGCATCTGATATGCCAAATGATAATTATCTTTTATTAAATACAGTAACCATAAACAAACAGATAATCATTAGCACTATTTTCAAAATCACAAAAGATAATTACTGTAGCATTAAAAATATTACAGTATACTAATATACTATGAATACAGAGGGATATGGAAAGTTAGTCAGATAAACTTACAATGATACGCAGTAAAGATCCTAGAAGACCAACCAACACAGTTAAGCAGAACACAGAAGAACAACAACTGTTCAAATAATAAACCTTGACAAAAGCAACACAAAACAGGTGAATATATAGTAAACAACAGACATCAAGAACCCAATTACAGCAAATTAAAATTACATCACAAGAATAAAGATAAAAGAAAAGAAAAATATATGCAGGAGTAGCTAATAAGAGAAACACACCTCAATTTTTCTAATGTCCAGTAATGAGTGGCACCGTTCTTTGTGTCTTGAACCTCAACTGCAACAATAGTCCTAGGAATAGGGCGGTCGTCCTCATCTTCCTCCTCCTCTTCTTCCATTAGAGGTAAAAAATCCGGAGGTAGAGGTGAGTACAATGTGTCTGTCAACAGTGTGAACTGGAACTGAACCTGGAAAACATGGGTTAAACAGAGAAATTTTAATATGTGAAAAGTATACTGCCTGGCAGCAGACTTGCAAAGATACATGATATAATTACTTCTACCTTATTGGCCACCGAGATAGGGAGATCCCCCAAAAAAAAGGAAACAATTACCATCATTCATTCAAACTGATGTCTTGCAAGAACCATGTTGACATCACAATTCAGATAACCAATAACTCCTCTTCCCACCTCACCTTCCTCCTATATTCACACCTCTTCGACTCCCTCATCCTTGCCTGTACTCTCTCTAGCACACTTTTCTCCCAATAGTTACACATATCTTACACTATCTCCTCCTTCAGTTTACTAACTTTCACTTCACTCTTACTCACTAATGACATTATCCTTGTACCCTATTCAAAAAATTAATTTTCAAAAAATTTTTTCTTTGTGTAATAAACAATGTGTAGTTTACGCATAGTAAAATATTGTTAAGCATAAAGAGAGGCACTAGCATGCATAAGCATTTCAGGCAAAAGCATAAGCTAACACTAAATAATGATTTGATGTATTTATCGCCCCTCGAAAAACATGCACATCCTGAAGCCTAATAATACATAGTTTAACAAGTGGTGTCATATGCCCTATATCATATCTTGTGTACTGATTTATCCTCATGACCTGTAAATATGTATTAGTCTATTACCCAACCTTTTTCTATGCACAGTTCCATTAGAGGCCCCTATAGCAAAGCAGATCATACCAATGATAGGATTTCACAAACATTCATTGTGAATGTTTCAGAACTGTCTTTCGATGTATATATCTATATACACTCTTGCCCTGTCTTACTTAATAGTGTTTTCATGTGATGTCATCAATTTCTGGGTCAGCCATGTTGGTTACAGCTGATAAAATGTATTTTTAGAAGTGCAAAGTTTTTACAAATTATTCTTGATAATTTAGTTAGTTAATTTGTTTTCAACACAAAAGCAATATGGTCTATTGTAGAGTTACTGGTCATCATAATAGGCCCAATCATGAGTCACATTTACAGTACTGAAGACTCTTTTAAAGTGATAAAAAAAAAAACCAAGGTGAGGTTTGTTTCAAGCTATCACAGAGAGAAGACAAGTAAAGTTGTCACGTCTGAAATAAAACGCTGAAGGAAATTTTTGAAAAAATACGAATGTGTTCAGTATGTTTTGTACCAGGTAAAACCTGTACATTTTAGTGCATTAAATATTAGTGACCTGCCATACAGGTACGATGTGCCGCTAATATACACCCATCTTTCTGTGAAACAATTCATGGCTGTAGCGGCTATTCACTTTCTCTGAGAGTGAAGTACCTACAATTTTTTTTTTGCAGTAATAACTGAAAGCAGTAAACTGTATGCTTTACCATCATGCATTCATGAATAATTGGAGGCAGCGAGTTATATGCAGAGAGATTAAGAGACAGAGAAGCTTAGATATTTTTCAGTTTGACAATTACAGAGCATGAATGATCACATAGCACCAGAGGCACTTTACAAATGCTTACCTTCTTTTTCAGCTCAACTGATATAGCATTGGCTTCTTTAAGGAAGATAGCATTTCCCCACAGATCATCTCGAAGCGAAGTGAACTGATGGTACTTCCACTTGCGGAATGCCCAGGAAGCCAAGGCATACTCCCGTTCCGTCCAGTTGCACTCTGCGTCAAACAAGGGGTTTACTGAAACACCAACACAAAGTATTAGGTAAGCCTGTCACCCATCTCCTACTGGGACCATGGAGCAACCATCAAGAGCGGAGTAACTAAGATACAAATGTTATGAAGCAAAATGGAACTAAATCATGGAACCAAAGTATGTACAGTACTGTAACTGCTTATTACATTTATAAGGCATGTCAATCTGTATGCAATATATTTACTGTTACACTGTGTAAGCACAAAGCTACAACCAAAAGATGAATTTCTATTAATAATAAACTCAAAAATACTAAGTTTTAGTACTCTAAATGCTATGAATGGAAATTATCAATATAACTAATTTATGAAAATTGTAATTCACGAGGATAAAGTAATAAAATCTGAATTATAATTATTTCCATTACAAATAAGAACTAAAATGCCTCATTTTAACTTAAAGAGAACTGCTCAACCTAATATGCCAATAACCAATTCAGCTGCCAAAAACAAGGCTTTCTTAATTACATGTAAGTAAGTCAGTAATAACACAGCTTCCTGGCATCATTATAATATGAAGGGGAAGTCATAACAAATACGCTCGTCAATATACACAAATGCGTTACTGAGCATACGTTACGTTTAACAAGTATATATGGGATATGCTAAGTGCTATAGGGGGATCCATTAGCCATGACATTGGTATTAAAAAGGGGGAGGGATTCCATTAACCATCACACAATAATGATAGGAGTTCATTAGCCATGACACTATCAAAAGCCACAGGATTTTGTCTGCTTTCTAATTCGACACAACCAAAAAAAATTTTGAAGCATGTAGGTTTTCATGCAGGAATCATTCAAATAATTTTCATATACTGTAACTTAAAAAAAAATAACTGGAAGCAAGCTAACACTGTTTTTGAAAATATAATGACTTATGGTGAAAGAAATATAGAGTGAACAAAGCAAATCAATTCTTGTTGAACCAATTGGAAACTAATAGTAATGTATGTCGTGCTCTTGATTAGGTTGCTATATTGGTCCTAATATGCTTCTCTGACAATATTCAGAATATGCCTTTCTTTAGATTATTAATCAAATTCTTCTAGGACTGATACAGCAAAAAAAAAAAAAAATAATAATAATAATAATAATAATAATAATAAATAATAATAATATAATAATAATAATAAATAATAATAATAATAATAATAACAATAATAAGAATAAGAATAATAAATAAATACTAATACTAATAATAATAATGTTAACAATATATAAATAAACTATTTAATCTTGACATTACAAGGGGGTTTAATTTCTTGGCACATACATGAGGTTCAATTTACAGCTTCTCCTTAACATTAACATTCACTCTTGGTGAAATTTAAGAGATTTCGGACAGAATATTATAATATGCAGAAACAGTTCTGCCACTGCATAGTTTAGTGTAAAGGGTATATTTTAAGATTGGAGGGAATTGAGGGAAGGGGGAGGTATATATTAAAAAAATTTTACTTTGCTGTTTGATAAAACATTCTGTCATATTCCCTCTGCAAAGACAGTGTGTGGAATGTGGTGAAGTGTTATTTTTCATTTCTGGATCACCTGCCTTAGTGGGAGACACTGATGTATTGAAAAAAAAAAAAAATTCTTTAGTATCTTTTAATAGTAGGTTTATATATTTGGTGTTTGGTAGACAGCAACCGACCTGGGATATCCGTCATGCCCTGGGTAAAAAAACAGTGATCATTGTGTGAATGATGGTGGAAAGTGTGTTTTTTTCTTTTCTGGTTCACCTTGCCTTCAGTTACACTGAGGTCCATAAAAAGACAAAAAATAACATCTGGTTTTCTTCTATTTTCTTTCTAGTATATTATTCTTGTTATATTCTCTTATCTATAATAACAAATTCTTCCTTAAGATGCGTATATATGAGACTAATATAGAATAGTAATCTTTCTGTATATATTATAAATGTAAAATAGATATAACTTTCGTTTTCCTTTTATTATATATATATATATAATTAAAATAATATATATATATATATATATATATATATATATATATATATATTTATTATATATATATATATATATATATATAATATATTTTATAGGTAGTATATATATAATATATTTATAGGTAGTAGGTTGGTAGACAGCAACCACCCAGGGAGGTACTACCGTCCTGCCAAGTGAGTGTAAAACAAAAGCCTGTAATTGTTTTACATGATGGTAGGATTGCTGGTGTCTTTTGTCTGTCTCATTAAATATGCAAGATTACAGGTACGTCTTGCTACTTCTACTTACACTTAGGTCACACTACACATACATGTACACGTTTATTTATACACACTCATCTGAGTTTTCTTTGATTTTATCTTAATAGTTCTTGGTCTTATTACTTTTCCTTTTATATCCATGGGGAAGTGGAATAAGAATCTTTCCTCCGTAAGCCATGCGTGTTGTAAAAGTCAACTAAAATGCCGGGAACAATGGGCTAGTAACCCCTTTTCCTGTAAAGATTACTAAAAAGAATAAGAAGAAGAAAATTGTCAAAGTGGGAAGTTGAATGTGCGTGGATGTTGTGCAGATGATAAGAAAGAGATGATTGTGGATGTTATGAATGAGAAGAAACTGGATGTCCTGGCTTTAAGTGAAACAAAGCTGAAAGGGGGTGGGAGAGTTTCAATGGAGAGGAATAAATGGGATTAGGTCAGGGGTTTCAAATAGAGTTAGAGCTAAAGAAGGAGTAGCAATAATGTTGAAGGATAAGCTATGGCAGGAAAAGAGGGACTACAAATGCATAAATTCAAGGATTATGTGGAGTAAAATAAAGATTGGATGTGAAAAGTGGGTTATAGTAAGCGTGTATGCACCTGGAGAAGAAAGAAGTGTAGAGGAGAGAGAGAGATTCTGGGAAATGTTGAGTGAATGCGTGGGGAGTTTTGAAATCAAGTGTGAGAGTAATGGTGGTTGGGGATTTCAATGCTAAAGTGGGTAAAAATGTTATGGAGGGAGTAGTAGGTAAATTTGGGTGCCAGGGGTAAATGTAAATGGGGAGCCTTTAATTGAGTATGTGTAGAAAGAAATTTGGTAATAAGTAATACATATTTTATGAAAAAGAGGATAAATAAATATACAAGGTATGATATAGCATGTAATGAAAGTAGTTTGTTAGATTATGTATTGGTGGATAAAAGGTTGATGGGTAGGCTCCAGGATGTACATGTTTATAGAGGGGCAACTGATATGTCAGATCATTATTTAGTTGTAGCTACATTTAGAGTAAGAGGTAGATGGGAAAAGAGGAAGGTGGCAACAACAAGTAAGAGGGAGGTGAAAGTGTATAAACTAAGGGAGGAGGAAGTTAGCGAGATATAAGCGACTATTGGCAGAAAGGTGGACTAGTGCAAAGATGAGTAGTGGGGGGTTGAAGAGGGTTGGAATAGTTTTAAAAATGCAGTATTAGAATGTGGGGCAGAAGTTTGTGGTTATAGGAGGGTGGGGGCAGGAGGAAAGAGGAGTGATTGGTGGAATGATGAAGTAAAGGGTGTGATAAAGAGAAAAAAGGTAGCTTACAAGAGGTTTTTACAAAGCAGAAGTGTTATAAGAAGAGCAGAGTATATGGAGAGTAAAAGAAAGGTGAAGAGAGTGGTGAGAGAGTGCAAAAGGAGAGCAGATGAAAGAGTGGGAGAGGCACTGTCAAGAAATTTTAATGAAAATAAGAAAAATTTTTGGAGTGAGTTAAACAAGTTAGAAAGCCTAGGAAAGTATGGATTTGTCCATTAAAAAACAGAGTAGGGGAGTTAGTAGATGGGGAGAGGGAGGTATTAGGTAGATGGCGAGAATATTTTGAGGAACTTTTAAATGTTGAGGAAGAAAGGGAGGCGGTAATTTCATGCACTGGCCAGGGAGGTATACCATCTTTTAGGAGTGAAGAAGAGTGAAAATGTAAGTGTGGTGGAGGTACGTGAGGCATTACGTAGAATGAAAGGGGGTAAAGCAGCTGGAACTGATGGGATCATGACAGAAATGTTAAAAGCAGGGGGGGATATAGTGTTGGAGTGGTTGGTATTTTGTTTAATAAATGTATGAAAGAGGGGAAGGTACTAGGGATTGGCGGAGAGCATGTATAGTCCCTTTATATAAAGGGAAAGGGGACAAAAGAGATTGTAAAAATTATAGAGGAATAAGTTTACTGAGTATACCAGGAAAAGTATATGGTAGAGTTATAATTGAAAGAATTAGAGTAAGACAGAATGTAGAATTGAGGTATGAGCAAGGAGGCTTCAGAGTGGGTAGGGGATGTGTAGATCAAGTGTTTACATTGAAGCATATATGTGAACAGTATTTAGATAAAGGTAGGGAAGTTTTTATTTCATTTATGGATTTAAAAAGGCATTGTTTGGGGGAAATTAGAGCAGCATGTGGCAGATGTTGAAAGTTTATGGATAGGTGGTAAGTTACTAAATGCTGAAAGAGCTTTTATGAGGTTTAGTGAGGCTCAGGTTAGGGTTGTGAAGAGAGGGGAATACTTCCGGAAAAAAAGGGGGTCTTAGACGGGTGTGTAATGTCCCCATGGTTGTTTAATTTTTAAGTGGGGTTGAAAAAGAAGTAAATGCGGGGTGTTGGGGAGGGGGGGTGGATTAAATTATGGGAATCAAATTCAAAGGGGGAATTGACACAGTTATTTTTTTGCAGATGATACTGTGCTTATGGGAGATTTAAAAAAAAATTCAAAGTTAGGGGTGAGTTTGAGAATGTGTTAAAGGTAGAAAGTTGAAAGTAAACATAAAAAAGAGTGTGGGGTTTAAAGTTTTTAATAAAAAAAAATTGGATTCAAATTGGGGAGGAGGAGTAGGGAAGAAGTGAAGTTTTCAGTACTTTGGGGTTGAGTGTCGGGGATGGATTTTTTGAAGGATGAGGTTAATCATAGAATTGATGAGGGAAAAAAGGGGGAGGGTGCGTTGAGGTAATGTGGGGTCAAAAAAAGTTATTTGGGGCAAAGAAGGGAAAATGAAAATTAGTAGTACAA